TAGGTTGGCAGCAGCAGGGACCGAGCAACGGGAGCTCACCCCGTCGCGGGGATTTGAACCACCGACCTTCTGATCGGCAAGCGCCACCATAGAAAAGGGATAAAAACCTGGATGTGGCAAAAGCAGATATTGCCTAAACTGCGATGACCTTATCACCAACTGAGCCCAGATTCCATGCTAAGAAAAGTAGAATTCTGTAACCTATATAAATTATGCAAGGTAAGAATACCGAATCAATATAACAAACTATTCAATGTTTAACAACTTGGGACATACAAGATTGCTTTACCCCACGTGCCCACTTGATTGCTTTGATTAGTGGAATGGAACTAGCACTGTAATAGGTGCCACATAATACCTGGCTGGTTTGCATTTGTAAGAATTAAGTTATTTGGTGCGACAGCGCCTAAACTTTGGAACTCCCTGCCTATTGAGATCAAGCAGGTGCCTTCCCTTTACTCTTTCCAGCCCCTGCTTAAAACCTTATTGTTTAGAAAAGCCTGCCCAAATGCTGAGAATGTCAAAGTAATTTTAATCGGCTTTAGAATTTTAAATTTCATATGTTTTAAAGTATGGTTGTATATTTTTCTTCCTTTTACTGTTTTATTTTCTGTAAACTGCTTTCAGTTTTGTCTTTTTACAATCAAGAGGTGTATAAATTTTATGAAACGAGTGAATGAATGACGTGTGTGTGGTGTCTTAGGCTGGCAAGGCAAAAAATGCAATTGAAATGGTAGAATTGATAAAATTATTTTAGGGCATAATCCTGTGCTCAGAACGGCAGGGCTGAGCAGCTTAGGATCCAGTAGATCTCTGGAGATACAGTGGCACTAGTCCCCATCCTGGTTCAGCTGGTTTACGCTCAGAAAAAGGGAAGTTGTGGGGGCAGGACAGGAGGGGGCATTGCACTGAATCCTAACCCCATGGTCAAGCTCTGGATCTGGCATACTTCATGCCAGTTTAATACAAAGCAGCATAATTTAGGCTGGTGCCCTGTATGGTTCTGCCACCCCTCCCAATTTAATAGATTGCCATAGTGATACATTATTTTCCCAGCCCACCTGCTGCCTTGCAGCCAGAGACTTGAATTGCTGCCTCAATGGTCCTTCAGCACCCAACTCCCGCTTTGCATACTGTATTAATTTGTTTTAATTTGCTTGCTTCCTATGACTCTATGGGACTCGTCTTTAGATGGCATTACTTCACTTACACCAAAATGTGCAAAGTCAGACCTGTTGAGGTTTTTTTTGAGGGGGAGGGGTTTCATGGGTGTTGCCAGGGGGCAGTGTCCCCCCCAAATCTTCAAAAATTATTGAAAAACATTAAAAAGGTTCTCCCCACCCACCCCAACAAAAGCCCACTGCTTGTAATGTCCTCTTTTGGGGGGATTTTTACCCGTGATCTCCCCCCAAAAACTCAACAACTTTTTGCTTTCCCCCAACAAAAATCCCGGGAGTGGGGTTCACCCTTGTTCACACTGGTGGGCAAGGCCGTGAGCTTATTCCTCAGCAAAATGAGGGAACACCCCCAACTCAGCCGGCCCGGCTTTCCACATGTTTCAGCCAGTCCTGCCCTGACAGCGCCCCTAGCTCCCCCGAACATAGGAGCATGGTGAGCAAGGCAGAAGTGAGGCAGGTCTGCTTGAATGAACTCCTAGAGGATTGCCTAATGCTCTTTGCCTTTGTTCAGGTGAAGGCATCCATAGGAAATAACCACAGGGATCATCCGTCTAAGCCACTGCCTCGTCTAAGCCACCGCCTGGAGGCAGGAAAGTGGAGCTCAGCATCTTGACAGATGACTCTCTGTAGCCACTCCTTGCAAGTTTCCGGTTATGGAGATTTCCTTTGAAAGAGCCTGCTATTTTCATAGGGACAGCAGAACACAGGAGAGATTGAGAGGTGGGATTAAGGAGAGAGAACCTGCTCCCACTTCCTGGTTTTCTGTGAAAATGAAATGGACCATATGGGACCTGGAGCCTGCAGGTTGTTTCTCCCTCTAATCCAAAACATGTTTAAAGCAATTGAGTGGAAGAACAGGAATTCTCCGATGAGAAGAAGCTGGCTGGGCTGTTTCAGAAGACTCAAGGCATTTTCACAAGCAATGCTGGTGAATGGCCTTTGGAGGCCATTTCTGCAGCTGACATTTCAATTCTTTTTTTTCTGCTGCATTTGTAATTCAGATGAAATATATGCACTGGGCAGAATCTGTGCATTTGATTACAGCTACCTTCCATTTTCTGTCCTGCCTCATTGGTTTTATTATCTATTACATTTCTTTACCCTTCCCTTCCCTTCCCTAAAATGAAATGACATTCATAATGATATTCACAAGCGATGCATTCCAGATTAAAAAGCATCTGTGCAACCTGATCCTATCTGTGTTTACACAAATGTAAGCCCCCTTCCTTCCAAGTGTGCTTCCCACAGTTTTGCGTGTCTGATTGTGCCTGTCACTTGCAAAAACATCACTTGTGAACACCGTGACATGCAAAAGAAAGAGCCTGAGAGATACATATTCAATTAGATGTACATACTCTAGTTTTCGTAGCCTTTTCATTTGATTTACAAACCCATGGGAAAATGCAATCAATCCATTTTATTAATTGAAACATCATGAAAAGTACCTGTCATAATGTGCTTCTATGGGGGGGGGTGTAATTCTTCAAGATATTGCAAATGAGTAATTGGCAACAGTTTACTGTTTCCCCCAGAAAGGGTAAACCTGGATTAAATGGAGTAAAAATATGGGCTGGCTTTTTGATGATCATGCCGTGTGAATGCAGCCCCTCCACCCACCCAAACTGCATGCATGAGGAGGACCAACCCACAATAAACTCCTGTCTGGAAGCACCAATGGGTAGCTTAACTGGAAAACTTGGACCTATGGGTGTAGCCAGGATTTATTTTAGGGGGGCAGGCGTCATGTGGGGGGCACTGGCAGAACCAAGTTATCTGCGATGCAAATGGTCAGTTAAGTATTTTTATTTATTTACTTGATGGCCGGGGGCAGCTGCACAGCCAAGCCCATGCAGTTGGATCTGCTGAATTTTGCAGCGGCTGCAGTTCTGCTGCACAGTGATGAAGTCACTCTCGCTGGGAAACATGCTGAAAGTCCAACTATTTCCAGAAAGGTAAGAGTTGTGTCTAATCCAGTGCATCAGAAAGTGTTGTGTCTCCTTAAGAGATTCACGTTTAGTCTGCAGAAGTGCTCAAAGTTATTTTAAAAGGCTCTGGGTATCCAGAGGTATACATGGGGGTGTTTTGGGGTGAAACTGGCCCTTTCTGGGGGTGCAAAAAATCACCTATCAGACTATGCAGTGTGTGACATCTGTGTGTTGTGGCGATGTGATGCCGCTGTCACAGCAAGATCAAATGCAAGAGAAGCTACCAATCTTCCCCACACCATGACTCAAGGGTGCTTTTTGGGTGGGGTGGGGTGGTGCCAATACATATTGCAAAGGACACAAGTCACCCTGGGTACATCTCTGTGGGTATCAAGGCTGCCTGTTAGCCCCTGTTAGACATGTAGACCCTGCAACCCAACCGTGGCATTCTGCATATGCTCAAAGGTGCCGGTGTCACTATTACCCCACAGCTGGAAAAAGTGGTGCTGAGTCTGAACACAGATAAATCCCAGGTCTGAAGTTATTATACACATCGCCATTTGAACCAGGCATCTACAGATCATCCCAGACTTCTTTAACTCCCTAGAGCTTGGCCTGTGGTAATAATTTGCATAACACCATTCACTGGGTGTTTTTGTTTTGTTTTGAGGCTGTAGCGCAGTACTTGAGAAGGTCGTCGGTTCATCCCCAACATCTCCAGAGGGGGCTGGCAGGAGTCTCTCTCTTAAACCCCGCAGAATGAGTGCAGACCACAGGGAGCTGCTATGATCTGGTGGCAGAACTCAGCCTAAGACAGCTCCCGTCTCCCCAGGGTGGGCTTGCGGCGCCCCTGTGACGAGGAGCCATTTCCCGACGGCGGTTTCCACAGGCGTGGCGACCGGAAAAGCCCTTCCCCGCGGAGCGGAGCACGTGGCGGCGCCTCTAGGGCGCCTCGCCACGTGCGGCGGGGCGGGACTAGTCCTCTCGCGGCTCCGCCCCGCCCCAGTTCCTCGCTCCCTCGCAATGGCCCGGGGCTGCTGGATGCTGCAGGAGAAGCGGGAGACCGCGGGGCGGTATCTGGTTCCCTAGTATCCTATAGACGCATTTCAGCGGCGCGCCCGGTTAGCAAGTGAGCGCTCCTGCAGAGCAATCACACATACACACATAGTAACCCCCTTGGCCAGAGCCCCGCTGAATTCGGCGGAACTTGTACCCTTGTAAACGTGCGCAGGATCGCAGGCCGTTTTACCTCCCAGGAGTTTGCTCCGCGCGCCGATCGCGCCGCGCGCTTTTGCCTTCGCCCCCGATCCTAAGGCTGCTCACCCCGCTTACTGTGCACGGCGAGCCTTACTTACTCCCAAGTAATCGTGCCCTGCCCAACCTTGACTCGGGAGTAGGAAACGCGCACATAAAGCGTGCACACCTCTTGTGTATATAAGCCCAGGCTGCGCAGCAGGCTCGCCGCGCGGGGGACCGACTTGCAAACGAAATCGGCACAGAACCGGGCTGGCTGGAGAGGTTTTCCTCACTCGCTCTTCCCCTCCTCTCGGGAAGGACGCCCCGCGCTAGTGGATGACCCAGCACTTAAACCCGGGATCCCCGCCTTAAAACAAAACAAAACACGCTTTGACCCAGCGCCGCGCGTGCCGCACCCCCCATCTCCTTCCCCACCCCCGGTTTTAATTCCTGCGTCCAGGAGCCCCTGGATCCGCGCGCGGCTGAGAAGTTCTCCGCCGCTTTCAAGCTGCAACGCCGCCGAGGCTGGCGTGCCGCAGACCAGCAAAAAGCCCGAGCGAGGGAGAGACTGGCTGGCTGGGTTTTCGCGCGAGGCGCTTCGGTGGCACTGAGCTGGCTGGGATGGAAAGGGAGCGCCGCCGCCGCCGCCGCCGCCGCTCTGATGCAGCAGGTAGCGTTGCGCGCTAGGACCTGGGCGGAATCCGTGTCCGCCCGCAAGCTGGACTACCTTAAACCCAGCCCAATGCCTCTTCCTGCGCCACTTTTCCCTGCGCGCTTGGATGGAAGAGGCACAGTCGAGAGCCGCAGCTCGGCACTGGAGGACAGCGGCAGCGGCGGCGGCGCGGCACCGGGAGCCCTGCGGAAGCGGCACCTGTTCCCAGGCGAGGCAGCCGAGAGAGAGCAGCCGTGGGACGCGTTGTTCGGCGCGGATCGCCAGCCCGGCTGAGCCCAGAGTGGCACCCGCGGTGCCTCCTCAGGAGAATTCGGGATAATAGGATCTGGACGGCAAAAGTTTTCTTTTATTTGGATTTTTTTAATTATAAAAAAAATCTCTCCCCTCCCTTCCGGGCGGTGGAGAGGGGGATTCGTCTCAGCCAGCCAACGTGAGATCTCCCACCCACCCTGCTCTTCTTTTTCTTCTTCTCCCGCTTTTCTCCTTGCAGGAGTCCATGCTGATGTATGCAGCCAGTTACAGAGTAAAAACAGCGCATGCCTTCCTGGAGTCAGAATCCATAAAAAATCCTGGCGTCGCCCGTGCATCTTAAATATATCTGCCTATATAACAATAATCGGTGCGTGCAGCTCCCATTAGAAAAAAAGCCTCAGGCGGCGAAGTTGCTATGGTGGTGCTGCTCCTAAGCCCCATGGAGAAACTACGGATTTTTAGCCTCATTACGGTCGGATGGGCAGAAGACCCCACCGCTTGCTAAGAGCTGGAGGAATATAGATGATCCCTCGCCCTGGACCCTTCCAGACCCGTCTGATGTGTTTATAAATATGTCCGTGTGCGGCGCTTTCTTAAGACTAACAGCGGCTTGACCTTGAACCTGGGACAAGTCGAAGCAGCAGATCACTTTCAAAAATATATATATCCTACTTATTATTATTGATGGATTAAAGCAAAGGACATTCTTCCCCTCCATGTAACTACAAGTGGGAGGGGAGAGTGGAGTGGGAGCACGTCCTCCCCCCACCCACCCACCCAAAAAAAGGGGGGGAAGAAAAAGATCTCTCTACCTTGGGTTTTTGGGCACCGGCACTACAGTTTTGCTTCAAAAACGAGCTCGCCTTCCTCCCCCCTTCCTCCTTCTCCTCCCTCCCCCTCGCTCCTGATGGCTCCCTTAGGTGAAGTTGGGAACTATTTCGGCGTCCAGGATGCGGTACCCTTTGGGAACGTCCCCGTCTTGCCGGCTGATAGCCCCGTGTTGTTAAGCGACCACCTGGGCCAGGCGGAAGCGGGTGGGCTACCCCGGGGCCCTGCGGTGACGGACCTGGATCACTTAAAAGGGATCCTGAGGCGGAGGCAGCTCTACTGCAGGACTGGATTTCATTTAGAGATTTTCCCCAATGGTACGATCCAAGGAACCAGGCAAGACCACAGCAGATTTGGTAGGTATGGGCGATTTAACCTTCTGGTGGCCGTGGGGCTGACAATGACAGAAGTTGGGTCCTTTTTTAAAAAACCACAACCAAATAAAATAATAATAATATTTTTTTTTTGGTCGGGAGGAAATGGGATGGAGAGTCGATGCTGAGGATTATTGTTGTTGTTGAAACAGCTCGGAAGAGGAAATGCCTCCGGGATTTGCAGATGGCATGCAAACGGGACACCCCTGCAAGCGTGCAAGTACGAGTTTTTTCACCAAAGAGCCACAAGTCTGGGGAATAATAATAATAATTAAAAAATATTTTTAAAAGAATTGCCGCTCCTCTAGGTTTGTGGCTAAGGGGGCAATAGAGATGAGCGTAAGGTGTCCTGTCATAAATAAGGTTAATAGAGCCCGTTCTCCCGATGAGTCAGTAATGTGCTTCCCATTTCAAACCCAGTCGCTATTTTTTCTTAATAGGGAAGGATCGCGGCTTCCTAGGGCGAATGAAGTGCCTCGCACTCTTCCTCCACCTCAACCTTAATACCTGCCTCCGTAGATAGGTCTGGATTGCTCCCCCCCAGGATCCCGCCCCTTTATCCTGCCCCCATCACCGTGAGGGATCCCCCTACAGTGAGTGGCTCTTGCCGAGAGAGCTCTCTGCGAATAGCCCCCGCTGCTGTAGGTGCCTGCATCATAAGCCCAGATCTCTTGGTCATTAAAGAAGGCATTCCCTCGCCTCTGTCCCTCTGCTGTGCGCCCACATGCTTGAGCGCAGGTATCCAATGGGAGCTCCACGCCTGCAGGCGCAGACTTCCTTTCAGAGTTATGGGGGGGGGGGAAAGGTGTGTGTTAGAATCGCAGAACCGTAGAGTTGGACGGGACCCCGGGGGTCATCTAGTCCAACCCCCTGCAATGCAGGAATCTTTTGCCCAACGTGGGTCTCGAACCCACGACCCTGAGACTTAAGAGTCTCGTGTTCTGCCGATTTCATTACCAAGGGCTCCTATTTGTGACTCAGCAGTATAGAGGGGCGTCGGAGGACTTCACGTGGTATTTCCGATGCTGTGGCCACACGCAAGTGGGCCTTCTCAGAGTAGCTTCAAAATGCCACTGAGTTCTTACAACGGGCTGGCGCTGGCCTGATTTATTTTTATTTAAAAAAAAAAAATCTGGAATTTTTTTGAAGGGGGTTTGGGTGGTAAAATAATGCCACTTTGGGGGGTAAGGCTGGCTCCAGCGGCTGTTGGAAGGAGTTAACTTGTGAGTGAATCCACCTGACAGCACTTAAAACCAGGTCGTAAAAACAAAGCAAAAAACAAAAGAAAAAGAAAAGGTCCCGTGGTGCTTCTCCCCCCTTCCTTCTCCACCGCCATGCTTGAATGCCAGATGTTGAACAAGCTCTAAACTGTGTTCCTTTTATTGCTGTCGAGAGCCGGGGAGATAATACCGGGGCTCGCGAGGAAGCGATGCGCTTCACAGGGGTCACTGGAGATTCGAACCGGTCGTTACGTGCAAAGTCATCCGGTGTCACCCTTCGTTCGCCAGAGGCTAAGGGGGTCCCAAGCGGGTGCTAGCTAGTCCTACTCAGGTTACAATGAATGGCCCTCATGTGCATGAAGTTCAGTAGGTCTACTCTCGGTAGGGTTAGTATTGCCAGCATCTTTTTTTCCGTTCTCTGCGTTGCAATATGCGGCACACGTTCCCTTTTCAGGCCTGGGCGCCGTTTTCTCTTAGGAACACATGCACCTCAAAACGAGAATAGTTCTTGAATGCAGTTGAAGGGAAAGGAGGGCGAAAGTCTGCGAAGAATTCCAGCGCTAGGCATGTAATCTTGAGGGCTGCGGGCGCAAAGCAGCAGAGATCTCCTCGGCAGCTCTCAAATGGAGAAAGAAAGTTGAGGGATTATGCAGAAGTTGGCTTTGCGCTTCTGTAGATATGCGTCTATGCAGACGCACGCCCCTTTTGCTCCGGGGTGGTTCTGCACGCCAGCAGCAGCAGAGGCGAGATCTGGTGCAGGGATGTGCATGCGCGCTCAAGGACGGGGCTGCAGTCTTTACGGTACGCTGGCTGGTGCGAGATCAAAAGCAGGAAGCTCTGGTGCGTTAAGAGGCGAGATTTGCACGCTGTGCTGGAGCCCAGCGGCAGCCCGCGGGCTCACGCCGCTAGCAGGTGTACGGCGGCCGAGCTGGCGCTCCTGCTACCGCGCGCATTGGCCTTGGCAGCAGCAGGAGGGCACTGCAGGGTCCTACACCCCGCCGCTTCCTCTCCTCCCAGCCGCTCGCCTGAGCTGGGCCATCACACCAGCTGCTGCTGCTGCTGCTGCTCTGCAGAGCTGCAGAAGACCCGCGTTAGGGGGAGGCGGCTCATTTTACATGCGAAAAGGTGGATTTCCCGATACGGTGCGCCGAGAAGAGATGCAGTGCAGTAACAACTATGTCCTTGTAGTTAAGATTCCTTAATATTCTCATTATCTGTTGGAAGATTGTTGCTCTTTAAATTAAGGTGATTCTAAATAATAATAATAATAATAATAATAATAATACCACAGGCTGCTACTGATTTAAGGGGTGGAGAATGGAGGGATCATTGTCTAGGTCTGCAGTCAGCAACCTGGGTGCCTTCCAGGTATTTTAGAGAATTCTCATCAGCCTCAGCTCCCATCAGCCCCCAGTTGATAGTACAAAATACCTGGAGGGCACCAGTTTGGCAAAGGCTGGTCTAGGGTGGCCAAGTGCAAAAAAGGACAGTGCCTGTACTTGTTAATAGTTTGTGGGGTTTTTAAAAATTATTATTATTAAAAAATGTGTTTTGGTAGAGTGCAGCTTATTGTGCAGGGATGGTGAACTGGCTCCTCCTCCTCCTGTGCAACAGAAGTTCAGGGGAATTTGTCCTCATTTGTGTCTGGTTGCCCCATATAGAACTGTTCTGCCACTTACTTGGAAAGGCTATGTGTAGTGGACAACTAAAAAACCTCTGTGATCTCATGGCGCTTAATGTGGTGGGATCCTTACACCATCTGTTCAGCTGCAGCTCTCCCTGCGAGGCAATGACTATTGGATCTAGGGCCGAATGGGAAGGAGAGGCAAGATGGTTTAGATATTGTGAGAATTCTAGTCTGTAGCTAAAGTTGCAAACCTCCCGTATGTGCCCTGTATTTGGGCACTGATTTCCCTGGGAGCTAACTTCTGGGTAACTCTGGCTCAAGCTGCAGGGCCCCACAACCGGCTTTTATGTCAAGCTGTTCTAAGGGACTCTTGGTTTCAGGCATGCATTATTCCGTTAACAGAATGCTGAATGCAGTGTGGATAGAAACTTCTCCTGCTTACATCCATAGGGACATCAAGAGGTCAGGCCACAGTCATGGACAATAAGGCTATCAACGGCCACTAGCCATGATGGCTTTGTTCTGTCTCCACTATGCAAGGCAGTTTGCCCCTGTATACCAACCAGTTCAGCACAAGTAGGGAGAGTGCTGCAGCCACTGCTTGTGGGTTTTATGTAGACATCTACTGGCCACAGTGAAAGCAGGATGCTAGACCAAGTTTGCGACTGGCCTGATCCAGGTTCTTAAACTACAACATTTCCCAGTATGTCACATGCAGAAAGCAAGCAGCTGCAAATGGATCAAACAACCCAGCCAAATCCATATTCTATAAAATAAATTAGCCTTTGGAATCTTCTGAACAGGTTTCATTGCAGATCTTGAGAAACCAAGGTCAGAAAAGTCCTTTCCATAATAAGCTTGGCCCTTATACTATCCTTGAACCATTTCAGCTGGTTTAAGTTCTGTACAGAATGCAAAATTAACGCAGCGCCTGCTTAGGTAAGGCTTACAGTATATATAAAAGGTGGAGAGAGGACTCAAAAAAGGATTGGCTTTTTATGATGGTGGTGGGTTAACTGGGAGCAGGCAGGGCAGACAGGTGACCCCAAAATATACTGCAGCCTACCCAATCCTAAAAATATTGACTTGACATTAGTCCAAGTCTAGTACATTTCAGTGTACTTCCTATTGGATTACTTTTTATCTTGAGAAGTAATTCCTGTTGAACTACTTGTATCTTGGCATCAACATAAGATGGTAAAACTCTAAAGTAATTATGTTCTAGTTTGCCCTAGAGAATGCTGGGAATTACAGTTATGTTGTGTGCCAAGAGAAGTATGGGCACATCTTGGCTCCCTCACCACTGCAGCATCCTTACAATTCCCAGGTTTGTTTGTTTTTTATTATTCAAGTTGTCAGTTATTTTTAAACCAAACTTCATAATGCATGTGTCCATGTGTCCTTGCATTCCTGTGCGTTTCCAGAACCAGCCCCAGGGACTTGTATTTCGGGAGTTGCCCAAAGGCCCCAGCTAATATAGCTGCCCAACAGCAGTGCATTTCCGCAACTCAAGGCTACTCAGAAAGTAAGCTCCATTGAGTTAAAGGTCACTGACTCCCAAGCCAGCAGCTACAGGATTGCAACCCTCCTTTCCAATCCGAATTTAGCTGGGTAGCTTTTGGTTCCAGAATAAGAGGAGGCTTCTCCATGCATCTGAGTATTTGTGGGTGGGCGGGGTTTTAAAAGTCATGCTCGGAAATAGGACCCAGGGACCCAGTTTCCTGCTTTGGCTATGCACCCCGCCCCCCACTTCTCAGAAGAAACCTTAGACGGGAAGCCTATTTTAGACACGTGCCAGGGACAAGTCATAAATCAAGCTGCACCGGCTCAGGGACCCGTGATACTTTTACCATTTTAACGTCTTCCTTTAAATGCAAGCTCTTTTACGAGATCCAGTGTGGAACGCGATCCCCGCGGGATCAAAGCGGATGCTATCTCTCGGGGGAATGTCGGAATTTATTGGGGATTTTTTTGGGGTGGTGGGTTTTTTTTTTTTTTTGCGTGTGCCTTTGGTGTAGGTAGGACATTGACGGTGCAATATTGGTAAACTTAAGGAATTTTGTACCGGGGATGGGGGAAGGTAGCGTTGCTCTTGCGTCAGCACAACCACTGCATGAGAGGGAGAAAAATCCCACCCTTCGAGAGAGAGAGCGAGCTCTGCTAAGGAGTCATGCTAGTCAACCCTCGTCCGGGTTCCGGCCAGATCCGCTCCCAGCAGAGAAGCAACCGGCAGCACCGGACGATCCCGCCCCCGCCCTCCGGCTAGTTGGATTCACACGCACTCGCGGTCCGCTCAGCAGCAGCAGCGTTAGTTTTCGCCCAGGGGAAGCGTGGGCGGGGCTTTCGCACGTGCTTATGCGCGTCACGGACCCGCTATAAACGATCGCTTTCCCATTATTTTAAATGGAACGGTGCATAGATCCCCGGCGGAGCGCAGGCGTCTCCGCTCCCCAGGTGTCGTCACGCGCCGGCAGCTGCGTGTCCTCGAGCGACATGCTGCTGCAGAGGGTCCTTGCAGCGCCCGCTTGCAGTGCACCTGACGAGTCTCGGGGCTGCAATCCGGAGGCACGCTGAGCTGCGGAGCAAGCCCTGCTTTCCAGTTCATTTATATATAGGATGGGATCCGGCTGCTGCAGCGGAATACTCCCTCCCCCCCCCCCACTTCCCCGGGCTGGGCGCCGCTGCCGTAAAAAATCCTGTGTTGCTGCTGCTGCTGCAGAGAATGACTCGGATAAGCAAGAGGAGCGGGACCTGCAGTACTAAAGCAGCTTCTTCGGGCGCATCCTGCGGAGAAAGGAGGGCGACCCCCCCTTCCTTTGTCCAGCACCTCCTGCTCCCCCACCTGGCCGAGGCCTCTGGAAAAATGCAAGGGGTAAAATGTAGCAGCCTTAGGACCCGGGAGGGTGAAGGCAGGCAAGCCCCTCCCTCTGGGGAATGACCCCGCTTCATTGCACAATGTCATTGCAATCTTTAAAACCGATTTCTGCCTTCTCCTTTCTCACCGCCCCCCAACGCCCTTCTCCTTAGTGGGTAGGAGTGAAAATGCAGCTTGCACTCTTCTTCTGTTGGTGCTCCCCCCCCCCCCACAGTGGCTGGGGCAACCCAGGCAGATGAGTGGGGTGCAGATAATAAGACTGTTGTTAAACTTTTAGCCTGCTCTACCTTGCAAGGTGTTTGGGAGTAGCTTGCACAATTCCTTTTTTAAGGACTTGTGAGGTCAGTTAAACTGAGTGAGGCCCAAGGTCACCCAGTCAGCTTTGTAGCTGAGGGAAGAGTATTTGAATCCAGGTCTCCTAGTCCAGGAATACCAGCCACTGCACAATGCCATCAGAGGCTTTCTTTGATTCTTTACACCAGGGTTGGAGAAACCTGCAGCCCGCCAGATGGTGTTGGACTACAACTCCCATCAGCCCCTGTCAGCATGGGCAGTGGCCAGGAATTATGGTGACAGTAGTCCAGCAACATTTGAAGGGCTACAAGTCCCCTACCCTGCTGTACATGGTTTTCAGTTTTCAACATTTATAGAGCGCTTGCTTTTCAGAGCTCTTCTTTAGCACAACCAACCTTACAAGGTAGGTTATTAATTCCCAGTTTTATGGGTGGCGTGTCCACTTATAAAATTGGCAAGCTGGAACATTGCAGAAGAGGGTGGCCAAGATGGTAAAGGGTCTGGAAACCAAGCCCTGTGAGGAACGGTTGAGGGAGATGGTTGTGTTTAGCTGGGAGAAGAGGGGACTGAGAGGAGATACAATAGCCATCCTCAAAGGTCTAAAGGCTGTCACATGGAGGATGAAGCAAGCTTGTTTTCTGCTTCTCAGGAGGGTAGGACCCAAACCAAAGTTACAAGAAAAGAGATTCCGACTAAACATCAGCAAGAACTTTCTGACAGATGTTCAACAGTGGAGCAGACTCCAAAGAGAGGTGATGGACTCGCCTTCCTTGGAGGTTGATAAGCAGAGGTCATGCATGATCCAGTTGAGATTCCTGCATGGCTGAAGGTTGGACTAGATGACCGTGGGGGTACCCTCCAACTCTGCAATTCTATAGTTCAGTCTAACATTTTAGCCTCTAAGCTTTAAACTCATTGTGGCAAAATGCTGCTAAGCCAGACCGTTTCCTCTCCCAAGTCTTTTTAGTGTAGCCTTACACCCAGGAACTTTGAATGGGACTGAGTATGTCTGAAAGGACAAAGAGAAATGTCTACTCTACCTATTTTGCTTTAACAAACTAGATGAACAGATGTTTCTGGAATCCCATCAGCTCTGGCCAATATGGCCTGTGGCAAGGGACGATGAGAGTTATATTCCAATAGGCTCCTGAGGGCTACAGGTCCCTCCACCCCTGCTCTAGAGGAACCCTGTAGGCAGATGGAGCAGACTCAGTAGGTTTAGCTCTTAAGCGCAGTGCTTTGCTTCCACTCAACTGATGGCTGCCATTCTGCTGCCTCCTCTGGGGAAAGCACTGCATACAAGGGCACTGGTGCAGCAAAAGCAGAATCTGCCTTCCACCTCTGGTCCTGAGTCTGTACTAGGTGCTGGGTCCATGTTCAATATGTGAGGTCCAATGTGGAAGTGTTGGAAGTTTCACAGGGTGACCTTGGGCAAGGCATGTTCTCTTACACCAGGCTTCATCAAACTCGGCCCTCCGGATGTTTTGAGACTACAATTCCCATCAACCTTGGCCACTGGTCCTGCTAGCTAGGGATCATGGGAGTTGTAGGCCAAAAACATCTGGAGGGCCGAGTTTGAGGAAGCCTGTCTTTACACTAACCTACCTCCTAGAGTGGTTGTGAGGATCAAAGGGGTGAGCAGCATGTAATGTCGCCTTGATCTCTCTGGAGGAATGGGGCCATATTTGCCCCATTCAAACTGTCCCTGTATATATATTTATATATGCACACACCTCTGCTTGCTCTGATGATGACCAAAACTTGGCACTTGTGTGTATAGCGCTTGTGCTTTTCTGTAGCGCTACAGTTTTCTTTAATAAAAGGTGCCAGCTAACTTTCAAAGCCTCGTGCTGTTCTGGAATAGGAGCCAGCCCTTTGGAAAGAGGGGGCGATTGGCAATTATATATCCTGTTAGCTTCAGGGAGAGTTTGCCGTACCTGCGTTTTCCAGGCAAAAATCCCTGGACGGGAGAGAACTCATTCTATATGATGACAAGGGAAAGTGATGCAAAAGCCCACACCTGCACAATGTCCTTCTCCTGCAGTCTGTGACCTTCCATGCGTAGCTTGTGACTCCAGCTCCGTTTGCACGTAGGTGATGATGCAGCAGCGACAGCCTCCTTGCAAAGGCTGGGAGGGAAAGCTGAGTCCTGCTGCTGCAGATGAATTGCAGTAGCTGTTCATAGGTGGTGGGCAGGCACTCTTAATTTAAGTCTTTAGAAAGTGCCTCCTGTGGCTGGTAAGACAAAATAGGATCACAGCCATCACTGGCAGGATATTTTTGTTCCAGCAAGCTGGGGATGCCCAGTTATGATTTTTCTAAATTTGGGCAGCACAGGTTGGCCATTGAACAAATACTTTTTTGAGTCTGTGCACAAACTAATAAATTTTATTATATAAGATTTGGTGGACTAATGCCCACTGCGCCATATGCATGTGTTAAGAGCTTGTGTTTTATTCTGTTTTTATTGTGTGCACTACTTTGATGATTTTATGTTGTGAAGCGGTCCATTAATTTTAATTACACCACCATCAGTAGGGGTGGAAGGGGCCCATGACTTGTAACTTCAGTCCTTTTTACTCCTTGCTGAACTGACCTTGCTAGAGTACTCATTGGTTTGTGATTTCTGTAATTTGAAGTTACAGAGAATGCTTTTGAATTTCAGCTTATCTGGGCTTATGGCAACGTGTCAACAGGGCCGATGATCTTCTGATTTTGCATATTAAGTGCATGTGCATATGCAAAGTGAGGCCTAATGGATTTAATAGTATATATCCAGGATGCAAATTCTGTCCCCTTGTTCTTCATCAACTCAGGCTTCTTGCTGCTTTTACTATTTTTTATTCTATTCAATTATTCCTATTTATACTATTTCTATAGCAATAGGATTTTGGTTTTTTTAAAATAATGGCAACAGATGACCTTTCAACCTGATGAGAACCCAGGGCCCAAGATTCCCTTGCACCTATTGCACCCCCTAGAAAATCAGCCTGAGGCTCAAAGTTAACTTACAACAGCATTCTAACATTCAAAGGTGTGTGTGGATGTTAATTAGACAATGGAAGCTTGTATTGAGGTGTTATAGCTCATCCCATTCTCCAAACTTATGTCAAATAACAAAATAAAAACAGCATACCAAAGTATTATATTGAAACCAAATAATACTATTCATGTGCATTCGGTTGGAAATGATTTCCCCTGCCTTCAGTCAGGCTTATTCCTTATGAGCATGTTTAGGACAGCAACCTAACTCAGATTTGCATCCCAGCTATTAAGCCAAATGAACTCAGTGGGACTGCCACTTGCTTCCTAGTAAGTTACTTTAGGGTTGCAGCCTTTAAAAATACCAAAAAGCCCTCCTCTCCGATCTTTGCTGGCTTTGCTTTGAGCCCGTTGCCAAAGCCAACCCAAACAGAAGAGCTTCTAAGAGATACTTTCGTGCATTTCTAAAGGACCAGCCACCAAGAACACCTTGGTTTGAAGCAGGCTCGATAGTATTGCTACGAAGGCTCCCTTGAACTTAAGAATTGCAGTGGGATGCAGATTGCAATGTCGATCTGCCAAGAAATCCCACCATGCTCGTGGCTAACCTCCCCCATGCATGGGGTGTGTGTGTTGTGGTGACATGCATTTTCTTTCTCTGCTTGGCTTGTAGAAGAATTAGTGGATGGCACAGTAGCTTTAGCTCCAAGGCAGCAGGTTGGATCCAGCAAAGTTATATCCAACTAAGCAAGTCAATGTTAGTTAATTTCAGTGGGTTTCTTTTAGTGCAAATGGAGCCAGTGATAATGGCTCCATACCACAGTGTGTGTTGGTTTCCCTCTCCATCGGGCTTTTCACTTCCATCACAGGTGATGTGGGTGGCGCTGCGGTCTAAACCACTGAGCCTCTTGGGCTTGCCAATCAGAAGGTCGGCGGTTCGAACCCCCACGATGGGGTGACCTCCCATTGCTCTGTCCCAGCTCCCACCAGCCTAGCAGTTCGAAAGCATTCCAGTGCAAGGAGATAAATAGGTACTGCTCCGGCGGGAAGGTAAACGGCGTTTCCGTGCGCTCTGGTTTCCATCATGGTATTCCGTTGCTCCAGAAGCAGTTTAGTCATGCTGGCCACATGACCCAGAAAGCTGTCTGTGGACAAACCCTGGCTCCCTCGGCCTGAAAGCGAGATGAGCACCACACCCCATAGTCGCCTTTGACTGGACTTAACCGTCCAGGGGTCCTTTACCTTTACCTTTTTACTTCAGTGTTGCATTTGAACAGTTGCACTGGTGTATCTAGCAGTGTGAAAACACAGGAGGGGCTTCCACCATAACCATATTTGTAAATATCTCCTCAAGGCCATTATTCCCACCAAATGCCCTGAAAGTAGGTCTCCAGCCCCTTATGCCACCCCAATACTACAAAAAACAAAACTTGAAGGTTCATTTCTTGGCCCCCCCCCCCCCGCTAGTCACTGCAGGAACTGTCGAGAGAGAAATAGGTAATATCAACAAAAAATAGTCCCCCACCCCAAATAATACAAAATTAGGAATTTGGCAGAAGGAAACACTCCCCCTCAACAGTGCATGGTGAAATTATGGAATTTTCTCCTGTAATGACGGCCACTGACTTTCATGTCTTCAAAAGGGGATTAAACATATTTGTGGGGCATAAGGCTAGGGCTTCCCCCCCCCCAGCTGGAACTCACTGGAACTTAGTTTGGGCACCTCTCAGGTGGGCACCATTGCCATTTTAAGAGAACGAGGGAGGTGTTTGTGGTGAGATTCTGGCATTTCTTTTTCCAGAAAAGTAGCACTGGATATGGCTACCCATGGCTCACAGACAATGTCCAAAGTGCACTGTACATTTAAAGCACTCATACATCACTTTTAACAGCCCCCCCCCCCAAGAATCCTGGGAACTGTGGTTTGTTAAAAGTGCTGAGAGTTGTTAGGTAAATCCTCACAAAGCTACAGTTACCAGAATCCTTCACAAACTGCAGTTTCCAGGCTTCTTTGGGGGAAGCCATGACCGTTAAAGTCATATCTGAGTTCTTTAAATGCATGATGTGGGTGTGAGTTGCTAGAGCAGAGAGGGCTCATGCCTTCATGCCCCACTGTAGGCTTCCCAGAAGTATTTTATTGACTAGATAAGCCTTTAATCTGGTCCAGCAGAGCTCTTCTTATGTGCATTTTGCAAGCTTTTTAATTCTCGGTATGTATCCAGTCCCATAAACATTGCTGCCTCTTATACTCAGCCTAAATAAAATGTGTTCCTTTTTTATTCATTGCATTCATACCCCACCTTTCCAAGGAGCTCGAGTTGTAGTACGTGGTTCTCCCCCTCTCCCTTTAATCCCCACAACGACCCTATGAGGTAGGTTAGGCGAGCTTCATGGCTGAGTGGGGATTTGAACTCTGGTTTCCCAGGTCCTACATACATTTTTGTGCAGCTCTGCACGTAACATCTCTCAGTAAGTTATTTGTTTCCTATTCCTCGCTGGAGCTCATCTGAGACTGAGCCAGCTGAGATGTTTTGTTAGTTCTGTCCTGAGCCGCCAGCAGCTCTTGCATCTCACAGTGCACCTTGTAGCTCCAGGAGGTATGGAGGCACCCGGGAATGGCTGCTGAGTCAGCACTTAGCATCACTAAGTGGATTTGATAGTTTTGGTACTTGGGTACTCGCCTAGGAGCTTGCTCTAGGTGAGCGGGCAAGTGGCAAACTGCAATTCTGCCCTTGTTTCCCCCTAAACACCGGTAATCTACAGCCATAGAAGGTGTGCACACAACAAATTTAAAGCACATGATGTTCCCCTAAGAAATATTGGGAACTGTAGTTTGGCCCTCAGAGTGCTGCAGTTCCCAGCACCCTTAACAAATCACAGTTCCTAGGATTACCGTAGTTTGGCCCACTTTTAAGTGTGCTTTAACTGTAGTGTGTGAATTTAACCATAGTCGAGTCATCTGTAGAAGCACTTTCTCTCTTTGCTGAGTGTGCAGCTGTTTCACTGGGATTTAAACTACAGCTGTTCCTTTTCCTCCGCCCCCCTTCTGATGAGGGGCTGTTCCATATTGCCTTGTATTGAGTGACGGCCCATGGAAGACGCCGCCTGTGAAAAAGGAACTTTACCTCTGCTTGAAGGGGCTCTGCTTGAGAATTGTTTTCTTGACTCCCTTTGAAATGTCCTGGGGAAATTGAAGCCTATTAAACTCCAGATTGCAACTGGTCAAATGGAAAGCCTAGAAGGGGTCCAGCAGTGAATGGCCAGTGTGAGTACTTGCATGTCTGGTTAGAGAACATTAAATAAGTTGGAGTTCTTGTTATGGTGTGCTTTTTTCTTGGTTAGAGAACATGGGCAGCCTAATGACCCATTCCTGAATCTCTTGCCACCTGATGTATGGGAAATGACTGTTCAGCAACGTGATTACAATATTTCTTGCAGCAGCATACAAGGCCTAAAGATTGTACAACAATCCAGCGCAGTGTTGCAAACCATGATATGGCTGTATGCACCCCAGTATCTGAGGAAAATTAGAGATTTTGGGGTGCCAGCACATACTTTGGCTGGCGTTTTCCTAGAATGAAGGTCACCAAAGACTGCAGTGTTTTTTATTTACATCTGTTTATGTATAAAAGTACATACCACCCTCTCATAAAATATCAGAGCAGGGTACAGTGATATAAAACCACAAAAGCAGTATGCTTATATATACAGGGGTACCTCGGGTTACAGACGCTTCAGGTTACAGACACTTCAGGTTACAGACTCCGCTAACCCAGAAATAGTACCTCGGGTTAAGAACTTTGCTTCAGGATGAGAACAGAAATCGTGCTCCGGCAGCGCAGCAGCAGCAGGAGGAGGCCCCATTAACTAAAGTGGTACCCCAGGTTAAGAACAGTTTCAGATTAAGAACGGACCTCCGGAATGAATTAAGTTCTTAACCTGAGGTACCACTGTATAAATATCGGAAAGAACTTTCTTACGCTAAGAGCTGTTCCACAGTGGAACTGTTTCCCTCAGAAGGTGGTGGACTCTCCTTCCTTGGAGGTTTCTAAAGCAGAGGTTGGATGAACTCTGCCATCCATGGATGACTTCATTCAGATTTCTGCATTGCAAGGGGTTGGACTAGATGACGCTTGGGGTCCCTTCCAACTCTGCGATTCTATGATACCACACACACACACACACACACACACACACACAGGCTGAGCATATTATGGAAGAGCTCCAACAGTTTTTTTGGGGTGGTGGGGATGGTAAAGCCAGAGTGTTGAATTCAGCTCAGAGAACACGACAAGGCCCCTTTATCTTTTCTGGGAGCATGGCAGCTGCTAGTTTGTATGGCAACCTTTACCCTTCGGTTCTGCAAAGAGTTGCTTAGCAGACTTGGCAAGAGCCATTGCCAAAGAGGCTTGTTTGATGGCTTGTTTGACTGCTTAAGCAGTCTCTCTGTCTACAGAATGCCATCTTCCAGATATAAAGCCACAGGCTGGGAGTGGCTCCAAAGACGACATACAAACAAGCCCTGCCAATCCTATAACAACATTACCCTGGAGCTGTAACTATCAGGGTCATATGCAGCAGTGCGTACTAGTTCGGGTTTGAAAGCAATTAGGGGAAATGAACGAAATCCTGCAAAGTGCAATGGGTTGGCCAGTTGGCTAGTTGATAGCATGTTAGGAATGTCATTGTGTATGGCGTATGCCTTGTCACTTTGGCTCTAGTGGCAAAGTTATGCTTGATCTTTGCAAATGAAAGATTATCCCGGATTGCATGTTTACAAGGCTTTGAATGTTAAAGGATTTGGAGAGGCAGGATACAAACCTTAGCAGTCCGTGAAGTTAGCATATGATTCAGCCCTTGGAGCAGAGGTTTTCAGCCTTTTTGAGTCCATGGCTCCCTTGAACAACAGCATTCTTTCTGCAGCACCCCTGTGGGGCTCAGGAACCTAGTTATGTCACCACTTGCCTGCAGACCTGGCAGCACCTCACCCCTTTTCGAACACCCTCCCTTATGAAGTGTTCCCTCAGCCTCCTCTCCCCTCTCCTTGAGAGTCCTCTGGGCAGCCGCTGCTGCCACCCCTGGTCTCAGAGCTGCCCCCCATGCCCGAAATAGAGGTGCCTCCTCACACTGCCCCTGGGACTTGTCTGTCCATTCCCAACAACAAGGGCTGGTGGACTGGCTGGCTAGGCTCCCTTGCCTGCTTGCTTGCTTACTCCGAGGCTGCCTCAGCTCCTGGCACCCAGCACCCCCTGACCAGCCCCAGAGGAACCATTCGCCTGGGGAGCTTGTAGCCAGGGCTGCTGCAACAAACAGCTGTGCAAGCCTTTGGGAGGCAGAGATGCCAGAGGGCATCAGAGGAGGGAGGGAAGGAAAGAGGGACAGAGGACAGTGTTGCCTGGCACCCCTGACCGTCATGCAAGGCACCCGAAGGTGCCATGGCACACTGGTTGAAAACTACTGCCATAGACTGTATGTGCTACTATTAACTGAATGAGCACATTATTTATATCCTGGAAACATTCAAAAGTGCCTCGAATTAAACAATACATCTGCTGACTTGGCAAAACTCATATTATGGACAGTTGGCATGCATCATCCAGAGTGATTTGTGCTTTGATTTACCATATAGAGTTCAGATGTGTCTCTGGATAGTTTTCCTTAAGGGAGTGTGCCGAGCAAAGAGTAAAAAAACTGAAGCATTTCCTATTTCAATATGTAAACTTTGTTGTTTGTGGGTTTCACAGACTTCTCAAGAACAGAGACACAACCGACTTGAAAAAATCAGCTACAGGGCTAGCAGCGTTTTACTTTCAGGTGGTCAGTAGTGTGTGACCCGGCCATCTGAAATTGGAGTAGCAATTTCACTCCCAATTTACTTTTACACCAGAATGAAAGATACCAGGTTTATAAACCCAGAGCCTACAATATTGGACAATAGGCACATAACCTAAGAATTGGCCTCTCTTAAAATTGCTTGGTGGTTATATGTACACAGGGGTAACTTGATAGTTTGGTGAAAGTTTTACAGTTTTACAAGATTTGGAGCCCTGATTATGTAGCTCTGAACATGGTGAAAGCTTTCCAATGGGCTGTTTGTATCAGATATTGTACTAGAAGTATTGCACCTAGCAGAAGAATGCTGATTATTTTGTTTTGTTTTATTACTTAGTAAGAATGCAAACAATTTAAAATGGGGAGATTGCCTTTTACTAAGCTGGAGTTATCAATGCAGTGATGAGTAAAATATACAGCAATAATCAATAGTGTTCTCTTAAACTAGTAAGTGGGTCACAAAGCCTGTGCAAGTGGGCTTTGGACTTTATAAATAAACTCAAGATAATTATTTCTTGCAATCCTTAACTGGCATGATGAATATCTCTTACAACTTTTTGTATAGTTGGCTTGTTATAATGCTGTCTTGACACTTGTTGCACTAAATCAGTGAATTTTTGACTTCTGGGCCACCATATTAAAAAGTTTGGGAACCACTGCCTTAGAGAAAGGTACAGCAGTACTCATCATTGCAATCTTGGTTACAAAACTATCTCTTGGCTTCTACCTGTTGTTGATAGATCTATGCTGCTGAGGCTGCTACTGCTATTGCTCCTTTGTGAAAGATGCAAAATGAATCGCTCCATAATCTGTGTAACAGCTTTTCTGTTGGTCACTACCCCCCCCCACCTTTGTCTTCCTCATATATTGCTTTCATTGGAATACCCTTTCAGATTTCTGCCTGTTACCATTCCATCTTTCTCCTTTGGCTTTCCATTTTTACAACCACACTCTTTCTCTGTTCTTCTCTAACTCATCTCTTGCCTTGTTTTGAAAATAGATTTTGACCTGGTGGCCTCGGTCCTTTGTACAACATTCTGTCAAGTTTTAGTTGAGCTTTAAACATTTCAATAATAAACAAACAAACAAACAAACATAAATGTAATGTGACGTGCAAGAATTGTCTGGGTAACATTTTTGGAGGAGGGTTTAAAGGAGGATGGTAAAGAGGCCACATTCACTGGTTCACAGATATTCCTGGTAGGACCATGGCCTGAACAAAAACTGGCATTGGGTCAATCTGTCTGAGAAACATCAATTTTCTCTATTCCATTCTTTCCCTCCAACTTCTGAGTTCCTCTTCCACCTATAGGGAAGGGCTGTAGCTCAGTGACAGAGCAGCTGAGTGCAGAAAAGTTGCAGGTTCAGTCCCTGGTATTTTTAGGGCTGGGAGTGTCCCCAGTCTGGAACCCTGGACAGCCACTGCCTGTCAGTTTGATGTTACTAAGTTAGATGGACCAATGATCTTGACTCAATATAAAGCAAGTTCCTATGTTCATTCCTGAAGGCAAGGATAGAGCCGCGGAGAGAAACTGGTGGACTTCTGGTTATTTTGGGCTCTTAATTTTCATCAGCCAAAGTCAACATGGACAGTGGTTGGGGATTATCTGAGTTGGAGTCCAACATCTGGAGGGACACAGGTTCCCCATGTTTGCCATACCATGTGAGCAGCGTTTGAAATTCGCCAGGTGGCAGGCACATTTTGCACCTGGCTATTGACCACTTGTGACCAAGTGAAGTTGCCCAGGTGCTGGGATGGCGTCTGACGTCTCCGCCATCTGGAAGTGCATGCCTGGGGAACCTTGGATCTTGCATGTTGGATCACACTAGCAACACATCCTGTAGAATTCTATCTGTGATATTTTATCTGCACAATCGGAACGAATTTCAGGAACCAAAAAGTCTTTTGAGCCATCTGACCCCAAAACTGCAACTAGACATTCCATTTTTGGCATCTGTAACCTTGGTTTGAGGAGCCATTTGGCACCTAGATTATATATGTGAGTTTCTAACAATGCATGTGAGATATCTTGACCTTTTATTACACTTGGAAGAATGGTGTATTTTTTTTTTAGAGATTTGTTTGGCAAGACACACTCCTTAGCAATGTTGTCAATCTATATACAACCAGGTTTTGCTGTGTCATCTCTCTCTCTCTCTCTAAGATATGACACAGTAAAACCTGGTTGCTGTTGGTTGCCCATCTGCAAAATCCTTTCATAAGAACATAAGAATGGTCCTGCTGGATCCAGAATCCTGTTTTGCACAGTAGAGGCCTATGAGAAGCTCATAAACAGGTCATGAACACAAAGACACTTGCTGTTGACTGACATGGTTTAATTATGACAACACCTGTAAGCTGCTTTGAGTCATTTCCATGAATAAAGTGACTAATAAATAACAACAACATCCTTGTAACTGCTGATGTGGACAAATTCTAGCTATTAGGAGGGGAAAGGAATTGCGTAATATAGGCAATCTGTTCAGTGGAGATGTGGACATACATGAACTATTAGGAGGGAAAGGTTAATGGCGTAATATGCAAAACCAGATCAGTTGCTATGAGGCAAGTCGACAATTGGTTTGGTAGAAAGGGAAAGGTTGCCAAGAGTCTTGCGGAAGGAGTAGAGGGGCTGTTTGCTGCAGAGGGCGGGATTGGGAACACGGTGCGCTGAAGGGGGTCAGTTGGCTGTCCGTGAAGGAGTTGAATTAAGCAGTGAAGGAGGAAGAAGGGGAAATATGGAGAAAGGGAGGTGGGCTGTGACTTCAAGGAGACTGTGATAGGTTAATTTAGCAGCAGAGGAGTTGGAGGGAAGGCAAAGAGGGAGGCATGGGTTGGGGAGAATATTCAGAGAAGACTTGGGCCAGATCTGGCTATTATGGGAAGTGAGGGAGACAAGGGTTTGGGAATTTGAGAACTGGATGGCAAATATTGGTTACAGACAAACTTTGGACTGTAGGTATCTAGTTTATTTGGGGTGGGGAGTGGGTAGTCTTCATTATTTATAGGTAAATGGGAGATACTGATACCAAGATACTGATATAAAGCCCAACTAGACAATCGGCCAATCCTAATGGACTGTTTTATTCCAGGAAAGGGCACTTTTGTTGGTAGGTAATCTGAGGAAGAAGCAGGGAGAGAGTGAGGTGATGTTTATGCATTCGCTGCCCATTGTTCCCCTGTTCCAAATTGTCCCATCCGCTGCTTCCCTCCCCATGTTTCCCTTTTCACACACACAAATAAATGAGGAATTGGACACCTTGCAAGGTTGGGTTTCTAGTGAATGTGTGGCAGGTGTAATTTGAAGCATAACCATGGATCAAATCCTCTATTCCTACTGCTTCTCCTCCAGATTGACTCATTCTGGAGTGGCTTTTCCTGAAGCAAAAGGGCGGAAGGAACATTGGGACTTGAGCTGTGTACGTGCTGCACCTTTAAAGCACATTTGAAGCACATTCTTCCCCTCAAAGAATTCTGGGCACCTCAGTTTACCCCTCACAGATACCATTCCCAGCCACTACTGTGCCCAGAATTCTTTGAGGAGAAAAATGTGTTTTGAATGTATTTTAAAGGTATAGCGTGTACCTTTATTGTCCGTTGAACCTTAATCACTAAATTAAGGCTCCGTGCCAGTTGTGGTAACATAGTAGGTTTATTAAGTTATTAAGGAAGTTTTCTACAGTTCTCTGGCAAGGCTCTTACTACAGGCCTGCAGGAGGATTTCTCCTAGTCTGAGGGAGGGCTGGCTTCAAGGGTCAGCATGGTTGGACACCTGCTGAGAGTTGCTAGGAAATGCCTATTCACAGCTACAGTTACCTCACAACTACCTCACAGCAACAGTTATCAGAGTGGCTTAACAGTCAACCCAGGGAACTCTGGGAATTTTAGTTCTGTGAAGTGAATAAGGGTCTCCTAACAATTCTCAGTACAAACTACAGTTCCCAGGATTCTTTGGGGGGAAGCCATGGTGTGATACAGCTTTAACTGTATACTGCAGATGGGGCAAGCAGAAGTGAGGCAGAGCAGCAGCAGTTGGCATTGAGTGGGCATTGAGGGTTGTTCAATCCCCCTATAGCTGGCACTGGTTGTACTTAACAGGACAAAGCACAGTTTAATTACAGTTCCTGAACATAATGCAGGTTTCCACACGTGCGTGTGTGTAACACATATTTAGACCAGGGATGGGGAACCTGGTGGCCTGGTAAGGAATGTGCCCCTTAGACTGAAGAAAGGTTCCTCTCACCTGATTTTAGAACTGAAGTTGTGTTTTGTAAGCTCCACTTTCAGTCTTCAACAGATTCTGAACAATCCTTCGCAGCCGATCACATAAATACCTTTTAAAAAACAACGAGCGGCCTGTAAATAACTTTACAAACCTTTCTGCATGCCCCAGCATGCCAGAGGATTGCTGGAACATTGGGTCTGGTCAGGTACTTGATGGGAGGGCTTAAGAAAAATCTCTTTGAGCAAGTAGCCCTCTTTGAAAGGCTGAGCTTTTCACTTGGCACTCCTCTCCCGTCTGCATTGCATAATTTCAGGAGAAAGCTCAGCACGGTTGCCTTTTATACGCTGCGGATGTCTGTATCTCTAATAATTACTCATCTGTTGGCATTTTTCTTTCTGGTGGAAAACATCTGCCATCTTTGTAATGCCACTGAGTCAATTTCAAAGTTGACTCCAAGTGCTAAATTTGTGAATGGAAATGGTATGGACATTTTGTGTGTGTTGTGTTTTGCAGGTATCCTGGAATTTATCAGTATAGCAGTGGGCCTGGTCAGCATTCGAGGGGTCGACAGTGGACTTTATCTGGGAATGAACGAGAAAGGAGAACTATATGGCTCGGTAAGTTCCTTGTGGTTTTGAAAAATCTTGGCCTCTGTTTTCTTTAAACGTGCTGTTATGGTTACTGTGGTCGTTAAATGGCTATCTGCAGAGCCCAGAAGATCATGCGCTTGTAAAACAATGCATTGTGCAAATTTCTGGTCAAAGGTACTAGAATCTAGTTAAGAAGGATAAATAAGCTAGAGATTCAGGAGGTTGCACCTGGGCCCTCTTTGGGCCAGTCAGCACTGGGAGCAGGCACAAACGTCAAGGTGGCCATGAAGGTCGCCATATGCTCAAATTGTTGTCGCCAACCAGATATCAGCCTTTCCTTTTCTGTCAGTGACTTGGCCTTCTCCATCTCATGTTCCATTGATCTATTGCTGGCCAGTATCTTTTGCTCAGAAAGGGTTGTGTCCTAATTCAGTGGCATCATTGGAACTGATGGCACTGGGATAAAAACATAAAATAAATGCAGAGGATAAAGCCTAGCTTTGTGAGAATTTGTGTGGGGTGTAAAATAGTGGTTCAGGGTGGAGGGGAGATGGGAAATACACAGTACTGATGGATACAATTTGTGTTATATACAGGGCTTCTTTTGGTAAAAAAATAATAATAAATGAGGTGCCGGTATTCTTGATAAAAGTGCCGCGGGTGCCATCACAAAATGGCTGCCATGGGCAACAAAAAGAGGTGTTGGTACTCAGTTCCAGTGAGTACTGTCACGAAAGAAGCACAGGTTATATATCACAAATGGTTAAAAATGAAGGACAGAACAAGTAGGGTCTGTCGTTTACGGTGGAATAAAAGAAAGTGAAAGTTATAATACATTAAACAAGAGCAAGAAGATTCAGTTATGTACCTATTGCACCAGAGAAAGTTGTATTACAATGCGATGATATCCAGATCTACAGTATACAGTAACCTGCTGACAGGAGTAGAAAGTTTTAAAAAAAAGGCTGTATGTAATTTTATTAGTCAAAGAAACCATCAACACTACCTTAATTAAACCCTAATTAAACCTTTAATAATTTTTAAAACTAAAAAGCAGATATTTAAGTGTTCTACAAAGGAAGGCACGAAACTGCCTTTTTATACTAACAAAATAGATTTGAAAAGTCGTTAATTTTGTATATGAGCTGGCATTCATCCTTCCTGTGTTAATTTTTGCAATTGATGCTTCTGAGAGCTTTAATGTCATACTGAACTACAGAAGCTTTCTTTTATATAAACTGAAAATTTAACGTACAAGGAGCTAATGAAGTACTCGGCAGCTTTATGTCTGGGGCATAAGCTGTGCTTTTGTGCAATTCCCACTTCCGCTGGCGGGGCTTGCGTAGGAGAAATTCCTGGTGGATTGAACCCCTAGGCTAGCGGAGTTGGCTTTAAAAACTGTACACAGAAGATGGGTCTTGCCGTCAGACTGCAACGTGATGAAAAGTGGCTGTGATCTAATTCCATTAGTTCCAATGAAACATAGCATCTAATATTCATGATCCTTTAGGGCCTTGTTGACACTGGCAAAATTAGTACCCATATTTCAGCAGCTGCCAACAGTAGCGCAAATACTGTTGTGGCCTGGAACCATTTCATTTCCCCCTATCCTTCTGGGTCTTGAGGCATGTGCCAACAAATAAGTGCTCAGGATATTGGTTTGTGCCAACCAGTGCGCTGGTGCAGCCTTGAGGAGCTTGTGCAAAGATGGCATTGCACGATGCCAAAAGCTAAAGAATTGTTACTGGCTGCTGACACTGCAGTACTAATGTTTGCTAAGTGATAGGCATTCCTCTTTTTTTCAGCTTTTGGGGGCGGGGTGTTGTTGTTTTTTGCTGCATTATAAACCACACACGCTGTAGGCAATTTCCAGAGGCATTGCCAGGTTAGAATTCAAAGTGCCAACAGACTCTGTTGCTGCAACAGAGTAACCTCTTTCAAAGTTGTCAGTCATGTATGTCAAGGGTAGCCAAAATGGTGCCTTCCAGGTTTTGTTGGACTACAACTCCCATCAGCCCCAGCAAATATGGCATAATGGTCAGAGTTGGTGGGAGTTGAAGCCCAAGAGCATCTTGAGAACAAGTGTTGGCTACCCCTCATATATATCATCTATAGAGAAATCTAAATACAGAGGTTGTTTCTTTGTTCATTAAATTTGTATATGCCCTTCATCCGTAGCTCTAAGGGCGACTTACAACATAAAATTACAATGTAGAAAACACAAAATACATAATAAAAATAAAATAAAAGGCAACCCAATGAACCCACCCAACACATTTTAAAATGGCATAGGGCATTAATCAGCCAAAGGCCTGGATAAAGAGGAACGTTATGTGCATAATGAAGGTGCCAGGTGAGCTTCCCTGGGGAGAGCATTCCACAAACAGGGAGCTACTGCGGAAAAGGCCTGTTCTTGTGTTACCACCCTCTGGACCTCTCGTGGAGGAGGCACATGAAGAAGGGCCTCAGAGGATGATCTCAGGGTCCATGTTGTCCTTGTTACTGTTATTAATAATAACAGTACCAGGCTAGAAGGGGCCCTAGGCTACAGTATCAGGTTCCAGGTTTGATGTGGGCCTGGGAGAGATGCCTTCATGAATCATTCAGTGTTGCAACATGGTATAGACACATCCCTGGTGATGTGATCCGACTTGGCTCCCCCTCCCCACTGCCCTGACAGGCTGACTGGGCAGTGGCAGGAGCAGGGATCCTAATGGTCAGGGGCGGACTGTCCAACAGCTCAGGCTGCCCAATGGCAGGATGTCCCAGCTGTGGCATCAGCGGGAGTTCTGGGCTCAGTTGGCTGGAGTTGTGGGTGCTGCCTTTCTAATTATGCTAGTGGGTTTACACTCAATGTATGTACTGGGTTGTGGAGAAGTCTAGTTGCACCAGGAAGTGATCTGACCATGGCACTTGTTTTGTTTCACTGGAACTTAGTGTCAGATCACCCACATCCACAGAGGTAAACACCAGATCTAAGACATGTCCACGACTATGAGTAGGGCCAGATTTATACAGGGACAGTACCATCTGTGTACAGGGCACTTCACAGAGTAACACAAGCCAAGCAAAAGTACCTGTGTTGACCATAAGAAAAATTCAAGTATCCACACTAGGGCAATTCTTTTATCCCACTAAATGTTGGACATGCCAAAAAGAAAATAGGTGATTTCCCCTACCCTTATGTGGTGGGAATGTGATTGTCAGAAAATATTGGAAGAAACCAGTTAAAAAGGTTTTAAGTTATGGAAATCATCTTCAACCACTATTCATTTTATTTAATTATGTGGAAAGCTTGGTGGTATTAGAACATAAATAATTAGTTTCTTATATGTTAACTGCATATGTGAGGACTTTGCTCGCTAAGACATGGAGGTCAGTGAACATCCATTAAAGAATGGATGAAGAAACTTTGGGAGATTGCTGCTGTCACCAGATTAATCCACTACCTGAGATTTAGAAAACAACAAAGTTATTATAGCTTTCAGACACAATGAAAGGACCTTGCATCAGTTAATATTGCACTTAGAATGATCCAAATAGTGTTAGATTAAATTAGTAACGTTCTGTTTTCAGAAGGACAATATTGTTCCTTCATAAATGATAGCATGTTGTACTCTTTTTAAACTGAAATATGATGGATTACATAATGGATTATAAATGTTGATATGTTTTATTGGAAAAACAAATTCTTGGAATATGCAATCTTTTATTAGGCCAACTGAAATGTTACAGAATATTGTGCAAGACTTCATGTTCTCTGGAACTCTGCATTAGGGTAGATGGTAAACAGGGGGTGAGGGAGGGGAAAAAATTGGCTGAGGTTGGAGCCATGGATGGAGTCTCTATTTAGCCATGGTCTTAAGATGGGTTGTGGGAAGATGTAGTAGACATTCAAGCAATGATGGGTCTTTGTCCCAAGGAGCTTATGATGTAAATTCCAATCATGGAGGGATACAGCTGAGAGAGAAGAGTCAAGGGAAAGGCATGGTTAATAAGGGAGAAGTGTGAGCAGTTGTGTGCTTAGTTTTTGGAAGGAAATTACCCACTGGTACCAAAGCAAAAGGGGACGCGGGTGGCGCTGTGGGTTAAACCACAGAGCCTAGCGCTTGCCGATCAGAAGGTTGGCGGTTCAAATCCCTGCGACGGGGTGAGCTCCCGTTGCTCGGTCCCTGCTCCTGCCAACCTAGCAGTTCGAAAGCATGTTAAAGTGCAAGTAGATAAATAGGTACCGCTCTGGCGGGAAGGTAAACGGCATTTCCGTGCACTGCTCTGGTTCGCCAGAAGCGGCTTAGTCATGCTGGCCACATGACCCAGAAGCTGTACGCCAGTTCCCTCGGCCAATAGAGCAAGATGAGCGCCGCAACCCCAGAGTCAGCCATGACTGGACCTAATGGTCAGGGGTCCCTTTACCTTTACCTTGCCAAAGCAAATGCTACACTAGAAGAAGTTGTTGGTTGGCATCTGTCTGTCTTGGGAGGCAGTCAAACCATTGGAAAGTTACTGCGCGTGCTGTGGCTGTAGAGACCAATGTGGGAGAGACAAGTTTTGTTGCAGTTGGGGCAGACAAAGGGATCCGGTTATGCTGATGCAGATGCGCCATGGTGTTTCTTCTCTCTTCGCTCCTCCCAGTGGTCATCCCTTCTCTGGTCACTGCTGTGGATACACAGCCTGACTGATTGTCTCCAGGCACTGTGATTGTCTGCAAGGGATTCTCACACAGCGGAGTTAATGATGCCAGCCTTTATGTGATGTTTGCAGACATCTTTGTAACTCAGCGTTGATCTGCCAATGGGTTCCTGGAGCCAGCTCCCTGTAGAGCCCCTCCTTGGGGATCCTGCCATCTTCCATTCTGTGGACATGACCAAGCCAGCGTAGACTGTCACTGAGACAGGAGTGCGAACATGCTCAAAATCTTCCTGATACAGGATGTGTGCAAGGGGTTGAGGCATCGCTTCTGGTGGGTGTAAGTTGCCCACATCTCACTACCATAAAGCAGTGTGCGCAGGTGACATGACCCACCTCTCGGCCTCACTGATGTGGTTCAAAGCAAAGGAAAGCATTTGGCACCAGCTTGGCTGCAGGTGTTGTCGGAAGGAAGTATACAAGATGCCTTCCAACCGCCTTAGGGACTCCACTCCCGATTAGCCTAGGGTTAACTCCTTAGCTTTTCCTTTTCCAGAAGATGTCGTACAAGGCAGCAAGGACAGATTGGTGCCCAGGATTTGCTTCCAAAGCCTTTCTCACAAGTGAGTTTATCTGCAAGGCAGTGGAGGTTTAGGATCAGAGTTTCATTCTCCTAGATGGGCTTCCTTCCCAGGTTGACAAGCCCCATCTGCCCTTCATTTCCCTCAACAGTACATGCAGAAACTGGACCACTGGATGTAATATTAGTCTTGTCCACCAGAGCCTGTTTTGGCATCTACTCAGAGCTGTAGCAGGTAAGGAAAGGGCTGAATTCGTCACACATGCCTGCTCTGATCCTCTTAATTGTCAGGCATGCCCTACCCAAGGCGGTTGCAATTTGCATTTCTTTACCCTCTCTCCCTGCAAAGATGTGTTTAACAATACATCTCTTTCAGCCATAAGGCCTCCTTAATTTTTGAAGCTGGAGCTTGCAGGCTGGAGTATGATAGGCGGGTGATTATTAGGTGCCTAATACTTACACCTGACTTGGTCAATTTAGGGGCTTCATAGGGTTTGCCACCCACAGAGGTTGATATTACACAGTTCTACTCCCTTTTGCCCAGGATGAAGCTTCTGGGACCCAACTAAAAAGAATCTTAGGTGCTGTTTTCAGGGTCACAGGATTCCCAGCTCAACTCTTGCATACTTTGACAGGACAGAAGGGCTAAGCTAGGAGTAGCCAATATGGTGCCTTCTAGATGCTGTTGGACTACAATTCCCATCTCCTGTGTCCCATGGTCAAGGGTGATGGGAATTGTAGTCCATCAACATTTGGGAGGCACCACATTGGCTACCTTTGAGCTAAGTCAAAAGATTAACAAAATTTTTTGATTAGTGATTTGTCATTGATTCTTATTGCACCTCTGCTTGAGTTCTATGTATTTGTAGGAACCAAGAAAAATAAAACCTGGAGTATTTGTGAGGCAACCTTTGCATTTTGTGTGCAGTCCATTTTATGTGTTCGGGTCATGTTGATTCTTCTTGGTATAATGCATATTTTGCAATGTGATCCCTCTTCCCTAAAGAATTTGTGTCAGACCACAGAATAGTGACCTTGAATCTAACACAATGTGGTGCATGAAGCAAGGTATAATATGATCAATAAATGAATATTATTATGAGAAGGAATAGTGTCTGGAAAACTCTTCGGCTTTAGTAGGCTACAGTGTGAAAATAGATAGGAAGGAAGGAAATGATAACCTTGTAGATAACTACTGGCTAAATAATTTATGTTCTTAAAGGAGATAAAATGGTATCCTTGTATTAGGGATGGGTAAATCTTGCCAATTTTGACTTTTCTCTATTTCCAGTCTTTAAGATCAGTTCATTCCTTATTTTTATTTTTTTAAAAAGCCTGCAGGAAAATTCAAATGATTCTCCTAATATATGCAATTTTGCCCAATTTAAGCATTTTTGCAAGCAATGTACCCTAATATAATTTATTTTTGTATGTTATTTTGTCTGTTCTGCATACCTGCCCAATATATGCTTTGTTTTGGTGCACAGGTGGGGTTTTTTTTAGTAATTTGCCTTGCAAGACTAGGAAGAGGGCAAAGTTTGAAGGATAGTTCCATTCCAGTTTGCTGTTACTTTGAAAGTAGATATTAAAATGCAAATAAAATGGTCTCCCAGCCCTACCTTGTATATTACATGAGATAGCAATGTTCTGGGGTTTGAAGCTGGCTTGTTTCCCTACAATCTGGGTGAGGCTAATAACTGTTTGTCCAGGTTTTAAGGCATAACTGCAGTTAGTTAAAAAGGGAAGCGAAAACTTCTGATTTGCTTCTGGTTGCCTTAGAGGAGAGGGGAGCTCATGAGGCTCATTTGCATAGTGGGGTAGTCAATATGGCACCTTCCAGATGTTGTTGGACTCAAATCCCATCAGCCTCAGCCAACAAGGCTTATAGTCAGGACTGATGAGAGTTGTAGTCAAACCACATCTGGATGTAACTGCATTGATTATCCCTAAGTGAAACCACCTCTTAGGATTATGTCTGAATGAGACCTTTTTGTGCCTGGGTGAATGTTGTGGAGGACAGGATACAAAGCCGAAGCAGGATACAAACTACAGTTGAGAAGTATGAAAACTTGTCTTTACACCACTTTTGAATAATATAGCCTTGGGTGTGTTTTTCATTGATCACTTTATACCTACCGTGAGCCTGTAAAATCTGAGAGAGAGCACCCAGAATAGACATGCAATGTGGGGAGAGGTCGTTAACAGTCTTGTCCTTTGCATTTTTACTCAAAAATAACTCTGACTGTATCCAATGGGTCTTAATTGCAAACGTGTGTAGGTTTTCAACCTGAGGCTGAAAACAAGGACTTGCTGCTTAGGTGATTATTTTAGGGTTGGATATTGTGATGTGTTTTGTTGGAGCATCCTTTTTTTGTTTGCTGTTTACTTTGAGAAAAAGAGAGGTCTGTCCTACTGAATCACTAGCCCCAAGTTGCCTTTGGAAGGCTTTGTACCATGTGCTCAACAGGTTTCACTTGTTTAGTTTATTATGAAATGTCAAGATCACAGCACACAGTGGCATAACACAGAAGTGATGACAAGGTCTTGCCAGTATTGGCTCTGTTACAAGCATCTTATAACTCTGCCTTTTAGGGCTTCAGCAGGTATCACAATAGCTTAAAACTTTCCCTGCTAAATAACTCAGTGTTTGTTTACATAGTGCATTGGAGATAACATGGTCTGGGGGTGGATTATCCTTTTGACTTAAGGTCTATTGGGGTTTCTTGCAATGTCTGAGGACCAGATGCCATGCTAGCGAGTCAAATAAATGAGCAAGAGGCTCGTTTTATTTACCAGATTTTGACCAGTTTTACTTGCTAATTTCTGTATACCAGCGTTTCCCAAATTTTAGTCTCCAGCCGTTTTTGGACTACAATTCCCATCATCCCTGACCGCTGGTCCTACTGAATATACATATTTTTACAAAAGGATTTCCCCAACTAAAATGCAAATGCGTATGTTATTTTCACTAATCTATGCATTCTTATGCACACTTTACCCTAGTATATGCATATTTGCACATGTCTCGTGGCTGTACAACTGCATTGCAAAAATCAGAGAAGTATGAATTTCAAAACACGGCTGTGTTTTGGCTCATGTATTGTTTCGGAAAGTACAGATTAGAATCAAATGCAAGCTGAATCAAATTTCTCCCTCATCCCTAGATGTGAAAGGTTTTTATATAGCATCCTTGAACTCTGGACATCTTGATTTCCACAGTGAACTCTTAAGATGGTCTTATTCAGGTTATTGTTTTTGTCTATCTGCTTCCAAAGGGTAAGCGAGGGAGTGCTAATGATCTACTTGAGTCAATTGTGAGGATGCTTGAGCCAAGAGTTGTAAACATAAAAGTGGTAATGACACCTGGAAACATGCAAAGTAAGCTGGACATCTCTTAAGTCCGTATGTATAGATCTCTCTCCCTCTCTACATAACCTTGTTTTTAATGTTTGTTTTATTTTTTTGTAAATCACTTTGAGGTTCTGTTTACAATCAAGCACTATATAAATTTTGTAAAATGAATAAAATAAGCCCAGTTGACAACTATTGGATTTAGGACCACAAGTAAAGCACAAGTCTTGATGATTTTATTGTGACTTAGGTGTGCTGACTTTTCCTTGAATATATCCCTGCAGAGGCTCTTCACATATGCATAATCAGGTCAAACTGGGGATTCCAATATCTCCCATAAATCAGGATTATAATCTTTGGAGCCTTTTGGAGGCATGTATACATATTAATTGCAGAGCCTTTGAGCAGGTCAAGCAAATGGTCTGAAGACGAGTTAGCATCAGTTGGCTGAGCCCTTACTAGTGGGTACACCAAAAGCAAAGCCACCTCTCCTTGCTTTCTTGTGGTCCTTCCTCGGGGGGCACAGAGCACATACTAAAACCCTGAACCTCAGTACTTTGGGACCAGGTCTCTTGCAAGCCAAAAAGCTGAAATTGGGACAGATGCTCCCCAAAGCCCAAATTCTGTGACTTATGCAATATCTCTGGTGTATTCATAGGCAGAGCAGTCTGCAGAAGTTGGGGGTGGGGGAGAGAATCGAACGGCCAAATCCAAAGCCCTGGTAGCTCATGACAGCAGTTCAAATAGCGTGTGTGTAGGTTGCTTATTTTTCTGTGGGCGGGCTTTGCTCCTGGTCAGCTTTCTAAAACAAGGATTTCCCCTCCCACTGATCCCAATGAAAGGGGAATTAAGTATGCCAGTTGGGGGCATGTCAGAGGAATAGGAGGGCTATTTATCCAGTGAATCCAAAATTCCCCATGATCTGCCCCCAGAATGCCTCCTTTTTGCCCTCTCTGCCCCAGGGCCTTTGATGGCAAAGGAGGGGGCAAACCAGGGAGATTTCTGCAGCTGTGAGGAAGATGGCGTCATGGACAGATCTCCTGTGCTCATGGGTCTCCCTCTATCTCTTTCAGAAAGAGGGACCATGCTATCTTATGGCCTCTTGGATGCCTTCCTAAGGACCACAGGATTACAGACTTACATTATATTCAATAAATATTGGGTTTTTGCTGAAGCGCCTGTTCCCCGTTTTTATTTGAGGGGGGGAAAATATTATGGAAGTAATTTTAGCCATTTTAATAAGGCATAACAGGGTTGAGTAAAAACAAGTCTCTTTCCCCCTTCCCCTCCTTCCTTCCTTTACAGCCTTACAAAAATAGTAAAGTAACTCCACAAATACGTTTGCGATTCAAAGCTTGAGTGCTGGATATTTTTGCTCTCAGGAAAGGTCCACATGACATCAAGCAAAGATGGCTGCCTGTTATCTGACCTCCTCACTCATCAGATCAGTTGAAATTTTAATAAATATGTAATTATCTATTAAGTATTTGACATAAAGTGTCATCAAAATTGAAATTAACTGTGTGGATGAAGCCGTAACCAATTACAAATGGATTCCTGTGTGGGAGATGCATGCAGCAATTGTCCAGTGTTTGTGGGCTTAGATGTACTTTATTTGAAAGGTAAAACAGTTGCTTTCAGCCTATTTTTGAGGCAAAGCTGTAGGGAAGGATTTTTTTTATTTAAAAAAAATTCTGGAAATGTCTGTTAAAGTAAATCATGCATCAAATAAACTCCTCTGTAACTTATATTAAGTATTAGGTTAACAATGTAAGTGTTCTTCTAAAGTGACCTCAGACTGGGTAGGGTGGGGCAAAAAGGAAGGGAAAATTGTGAAGGCCAACAGAATAGCAGAGCTAAAAACATTGTATTTTATATAAAGGATCATTGGCAGCCAGAAAGTTGACATGGTCTTCCTTGATATTTGGGGCATTTTTCTGAAATGACTAGAATAAAATCATGCTGTGGATCTTGAGTTAAATTTGAGTTAAATGTTCCCACCATCCCCAGCCAATATGTCTAGTGGTCAAGGAAGATGGGAATTGGAATGCATCACTCAAAGGGGAAACAAGAACAGACCCTGCACAGTGTGGTGTAGAGCTTTGTACTGTACTAGGACTTGTGAGACCAGGGTCCAAATCCTCAGTCGGCCATGAAGCTCATTGTGTGACCTTGGGCCAGCCACTGCCTCTCAGCCTGACCTACCTAACAGGCTTGGTGTGGGGATTAAAGGAGGAGGGGGAGAACCATGTACAGTGGTGCCTCGCAAGATGAAATTAATCCGTTCCGCGAGTCTCTTCGTCTTGCGGTTTTTTCGTCTTGCGAAGCACGGCTATTAGCGGCTTAGCGGCTATTAGCGGCTTAGCGGCTATTAACGGCTTAGCGGCTTTAAGAAAAAGGAAACAAACTCGCAAGAACTCGCAAGACGAAGCAAGCCCATAGGGAAATTCGTCTTGCGGAACGACTCAAAAAACGCAAAACCCTTTCGTCTAGCGAGTTTTTCGTCTTGCGAGGCATTCGTCTTGCGAGGCACCACTGTACACCCCCTTGAGCTCCTTGGCAAAGGAGATGGGATTTAAATGCAATAAATAATTGGTTTTTTTAGGGGGGTAGTGTATAAAAAACAAGTGCTGAGTTAGAAAGAACATAAACAGCTGTCATTTATTTCTGGGTGGACAGGTTACTCACACAGTTACTGCTTCACAGGGTTTTAAGGCGAGGATACTGTACAATGGGGAGGGAGAGAACCATATACACTACCTTGTGAGCTCCTGGAAGGAAAGGTGGGGTACAAATGTGTGTGTGTGTGTGTGTGTGTGTGTGTGTGTGTGATAATTTATATGCATCAATGCAAGCATAGAGATAATTACTATTATTTAAACAGAAATACATATCTTCTTCCTCTTCTTTGGCAATCACTCGTAGCCGAGCAAGATTGTCTTCCATAAACAATGTTTTAACAGTGGGTCTGTAAGTGACTGTGGAGGCCAATTCTGGATCCACACGTCCTTCCCCAGTAGGGACATAGGTTTCTGGGAATTGATCACGGTGAGGGTTTGCCAAGCGCGCCTTCCTCTTAGCACGTTTCTTCCTTGTGTCCTGAGTTTGAGCGTCTTCAAAGCCCAAGTCATCTTTGATAAAGGCTGTTCTCCAACTGGAGCGCTCGCAAGCCAGTGTTTCCCAGTTGTCAGTGTTTATCCTACATTTTTAAAGATTTGCCTCCAGAGAGTCTTTAAACCTCTTTTATTGACCACCAGCATTAAGCTTTCCATTTTTAAGTTCGGAATAGAGTAGTTGCTTTGGAAGATGATAATCAGGCATCCGCACAACATGACCAGTCCAACAAAGTTGATGTTGAAGAATCATAGCTTCAACACTGGTGATCTTTGCTTCTTCCAGTACACTGATATTGGTCTGCCTTGTCTTCCCAAGGATACATCTCACCATATTGGGAGAGACTGTGACCATGTGAGCTGTGTCTGACCTGCTCAGTCTGCTCTCCAGGTGTTAACTGTGGATGAGCCACTTCAAGGCCCTTCTTACACTCCCTTCTTATGACTCTTTAACTATTTTAAAAATAGACTTGGACTGAACAGACTTTGAAACAGAAGATGCTTTCACACAGAGGGCTGCCCTCTTGTAGCCCTTTAGAGGAGGACCCATGGTCACTCTTTCGGTGGCACAGTTAAGTTGTAATATGTCTACTCAAATTCCTGGTTGGCTCATGTGTATTGAATGGGGCTGAGCAAAATGAGCTTGGGATTTTTTGGTTGATGTCTGGATGATTTGCAGTAGATTGGCAAGGGTCCAATTACATCTGCAGAGCACCCTGTTGGCAAGGCTGTCCTAGGAGATATCCCCCAAAAGATAGCTAGTGGTGACATACCTGTGGTAATAATCCCCCCTCCCCCGATTCAAAACCATTTGAAAGAAGTACCTCCTAATGAAAGGTCTCCAAACGAAGAAGGAGACACTGATTATTTATATATGGAATCAATTTACTCTTTTAATTATGTAGTTGGAACTAAATCAGCAACTATTTTACTGGAAGTGCATTTTATAATACGGAGCCTGAGGAGTAAAGTAAATTGCAAACTTTTGCATGTTTGGAATTGTTGCATTTCTCTTCGTACCTTTTAAAATTATTTGCTCCATAGGGTTTACAAATTTTACATCCAAAGTATTCCATGTGATATCATCCTTCCCTTCAGTTTACTAACGCATGGCAACATTATAATGAGGAAGACTGAAGGTTTCGATGTTGTAATTGCTGTTTTGTTCTAGCTGTGAAAATTCAAAAATGGAAAAGGGTTTGTAGTAGGTTGAACACAATCGTAATTGATTTAAAGCTTCTAGAATAGCCCTTTTTGCAAGCTTGCTCCCTCCCCCCGATGATTTTGGACCACCCCTCCCACCACTCCTGACCATTATGGGGTTGGGGTTGTTGTTATGGTGGTGGTGGTATAACAACATCTACGGGTCTAAAGTTGGGAGCAGCAGTTATGGAGAAAAAGAGAACTGTTCTTAAGAGATGTATCTTGGTTTCAAATTAACCTTATATGGGTATTTATGATTCAGGAAAGCAAAGAAAGACATTTAAGAGGATCTCTCTTTTTAAAACCTGAGAAGTTCAGCAGCGCACATCATATGATGCTTGCAGCTAGCAGAAAAAACTTCATTTGAATGGGTTTTACGCCTTCCCTCCCAACACACAGAGCCCAGCATCCACCGACTTCTTCTCAGCATCTGCTTTTGCAATTGAAAGAATATAAAGTAATTTTTAAAATTGCTCCAAGAAATGTGTAGACTGCAAGAGCTGTATTTACAGACTATTCAACAAATATAAAGAAGACATTGATTACAAAGCTGCCGGCATTCTTCTCTCTCAATAAGATATGGGAGGCTGTTAGAACACATTCAGCTTCTACCTATTGTTGTGTCAGCTTCTGTGGGCAAATCCTCTGGTACTGCTGTCTTCAGATTTTAGGTTGGAACCAATGTAATGGTGGTCATGGGTAAAGAACATTTCATCACACCACCACCCCCGAGCCACCTATGCATTTGGGTTTTTTTTATAGCTTTTAATACCCAGCCCTTTGTGGAAACACACAGGGTTGCATATGACAATGGATACATTAATTACTATTAATGAGTCTGCAGTGGAAGACAGGAGTGCCTGGCGTGCTCTGGTCCATGGGGTCACGAAGAGTTGGACACGACTAAACGACTAAACAACAACAACAACAACAAAATTGTTATTTTTATTAATATTAAAATTGCTTTATTTAAATTTTCCATTTCAGTTCTTTGAGGAAGCAAAGGTGGATTATATTTGTGCGGGTGGTGAGGAAGGGGGGATTGGAGGAGGAATATTTTTAGATGTCTTATTTGCTAAATGAAAAAAGCTCAGCACTAATCCATTAATGAGCACAACAGTGACTAAAAATAAAAAGAGAGAGGACACAACAGATTACGATGCAGAATTTAAAACAGCAATAACATTTTTTTAAAAAATCAACTGTACCAGTATATTTAAGTACATAGTACAAAAAACAGATAAAAATGTAATAAAAATGTCTTCATCTGCAGCCAAAAAAGACCTAAAGATTGGCTCTAGATGAAGCTCTCTGGGGAGTTTCACAGATGAGGTGCCATCACTGAAAAGGCCCTCTCTCTGGTTGCTGTCAGCCTTGTCTCATGAGATTGGGGCCCCTAAAAAAGAGATTCTGAAGTAGTGTTTGAAAAGGGACAAAATAATAATAATTATTATAACTTTATTATTTATATGCCGCCCATCTGACTGGGTTGTCCCAGCCACTCTGGGCGACTTCCAGCAAAATATAAAAAGCACAATAAAACTTCAAACGTTAAAAACTTTCCAATACAGGAAGTTGGATGTTCGAATTTCCGATTAGACCAGACTCCACTTAGTTTCTGATCTGTTCACAGGCTTTTTTGATTCCATAATATATTTGTTAGCAAGCTTGACTTTGTACATTCATACTTTCAAATAATTACAGACAGTTATCAGTAGTTACTACGAAAAGAGCGGATTTTCTAGAAGTGAACTCAAAACCATCTAGCTTGAACTGGAGTAGAATGCCATACCATTTCTTATTGAATGAATGTTTTATTTTGCGCTCTGATGCTAGCAATCAAATCAACACAGGACAACCCCTTTTCAGACAACAGTATCCTTTTTTTAAAATTTCTGCCTGTGACTCTCAAATTTACATGGACAGTTATTTTCTAAACCAGTCCCTCAGTGTACAGCAGGGTCAGGGGACCAGATGTCGTTGGCCTGTTAGCCCTATCATCTCTGGCCATTGGCCATGTTGACCATTGGCCAACAACATCTGGAGGACCAGAGGTTCCCCATTCATGGTGCAGAGCCAGAAAGTTAGCCGGAGATAGAGATACTACCGAAGAATAATCAAATGTAATTTGAAAGCAGTATGGGGAAGAGAAGGGGACGCGGGTGGCGCTGTGGGTAAAACCTCAGTGCCTAGGACTTGCTGATCGTATGGTCGGCGGTTCGAATCCCCGCGGCGGGGTGAGCTCCCGTCTTTTGGTCCCAGCTCCTGCCCACCTAGCAGTTCGAAAGCACCCCTAAGTGCAAGTAGATAAATAGGTACCGCTTTCTAGCGGGAAGGTAAACGGCGTTTCCGTGTGCTGCGCTGGTGCAGGCTTGCCAGAACAGCTTCGTCACGCTGGCCACGTGACCCGGAAGTGTCTTCGGACAGCGCTGGCCCCCGGCCTCTTAAGCGAGATGGGCGCGCAACCCCAGAGTCGGTCACGACTGGCCCGTACGGGCAGGGGTACCTTTACCTTTACTATGGGGAAGAGAAACGAGAGGAATGAGACTGCCCCCACATAGTGACTGGGAGTGGATGCCGAGACCATATAACACCAGTCCTGAAAGACCTACATTGGCTCCCTGTACGTTTCCGAGCACAATTCAAAGTGTTGGTGCTGACCTTTCAAGCCCTAAACGGCCTTGGCCCAGTATACCTGAAGGAGCGTCTCCACCCCCATCATTCAGCCTGGACACTGAGGTCTAGCTCAAAGGGCCTTCTGCGAGAAGTAAGGTTACAGGGGACAAGGCAGAGGGTCTTCCTGGTAGTGGCGCCCGCCCTGTGGAACGTCTTCCCATCAGATGTCAAGGAAATAAACAACTATCTTACTTTTCAAAGACATCTGAAGTCAGCCCTGTTTAGGGAACTTTTTAATGTTTGATTGTTTTTTCTTCTTTTTTATACTTTATTGAATTGCAGTAACAAAAACCAAACAATATCACAAGAAAAAAGGAAAATAGCAAATTACAAAAAGGAGAATGAAAAGAACACACACAAAATACACAGAACCTTGACTTCCCTCCACCCATGTTTGACCTCCTTCCCTTAATCTTCTTTCATTTTTTGTGTTATTAGTATTACTTTGTTTTTATTCCACTTCTATCCATTTCCTCAATATTTCTACCCTGTAAACTTCAGGCCAGAAACTAAGTGGAGTCTGGTATAATTGGAAATTGGAACATCCAACTTCCTGTATTGGGAAGTTTTTAATGTTTGATTGTTTTATTGTGGTTTTAATATTCTGTTGGGAGCTGCCCAGAGTGGCTGGGAAAACCTGGCCAGATGGGCGAGGTATAAATGATACATTATTATTATTATTATTATTATTATTATTATTATTCCCAAATCGCAACCCCTGGTTTTTCAAGATGGCATTTGGTAATAAGTAATTAAATATGTTGCTAATTCCTTAATGTTTCTCTCTCTCTCTCCCTCCCTCCCTGTTTCTGTTCACAGGAAAAGCTAACCCAGGAGTGTGTATTCAGAGAACAGTTTGAAGAGAACTGGTATAACACATATTCATCAAATCTATATAAGCATGTGGACACTGGAAGACGATATTACGTTGCATTAAATAAAGACGGGTCTCCGAGAGAAGCGACTAGGACTAAGCGCCATCAAAAATTCACACATTTTTTACCTAGACCGGTGGATCCAGAGAAAGTCCCTGAACTATATAAGGATATTTTAAGCCAAAGTTGACAAAGACGTTTCCTTCACATGTGAGCCCTTAAAACGAAAGTAACCACTATAAAAGGTTTCATGCGGTGGGTTCTTAATTGATTAGCTGTGTCATCGCATCAGCTCCACTGTTGCCAAACTTTGTCGCATGCATAATGTATGATGGAGGCTTGGATGGAACATGCTGATTTTGTTCTGCACTTAAAGGGGTTTTGTCTTCCTGGAGGAGTGCCTATTGCCCACTCGCTTGGTTTATTATGAGAGGAAGGAAGGAAGGAAGGAAGAGTGAGAATGTGTGAGAGCGGGAAAAAGAAAGGAAAGAGGATGAAAGAGAGAAGCTGGAGCAAGAAGGAAGGGGGAGGGGGAAAGGCCTGATGCATGCTGGGAAATAGACACGCTTTTAAATTTTTTGATCCATTGTACTTCATCCTATATCAGCATAGCTGCCATACTTTGACTCATCAGGAATTTTGGCTGGTGGCCTGCTCAAGTGTACGCTGCATTTATAAAAAAGAAAATGAAAAAAAAAAAAGAAGGCATGGAGGGTTCGGTCTTACTTAAACAAACAAACAAACAAACAGAAAGAAAAAGAGACTTACTATTTTTTTTGTTTGACTGCTCAAGTGGGAGCCACCCCTCGCTGAATTTAAAAGCAAAGACCTCCTAGGTGAAAAAAACGAGAAAAGATTAAAATAAAAATAAAAAATAATAAAAAGTAGTAAAAAAAAATACGTAAAAAAGTTTAAATTTATTTATAGAAATTCCAAAGGCAACATTTTATTTATTTTATATATTTATTTATTATATAGAGTTTATTTTTAATGAAATATGTACAGGCCAGATAGGCAGTTTGGAAGCTTTAGGCTCTGTGAAACATTTCGACAGCAAAAAGCCGCTCTTGAACCTGTGATAAAACTCATGCAAGTCAAACGTAAAAGGTGCATGGAGGCAAAGAGAAATCTAGCGATCCTAATGTACTAAAGGCGACAATCTCCTTTGTGCCCATATTATTGTAAAAGTATGCACAACCACTCATGACACAGAGAACTCACTCTTCTGACTGCTTGTTTCATAGCTTAAACTCTCCCCCCGTCCCCTCCCCCCTCCCCAAGGATTAAAGATAAAAATGGGTCTTCAAAACTTTAATTCTGTGTCTGTAATATTTCCTCTTTGGTAAGTCGACTTATTCCATCTTTGTAAGCTTCACAGTTGTGAAAAGAAGAAAGAGAAAAGAAAATAAGGGTTGGTATATACTCTACTTGTTAAAACCTACTGCAGATAATACCAAAGCTAAATGATACATATGCTCTTTTTATTTAAGCAGAATGCCAGAAACATCCTAATATTGACATTTTGTACTAATTAAGGTTTTCACAACTAGTACAAGAGGCCCGGGGCAAGGTTCACTCTTGTAAACTTGTTTAATTGTGCACTTGACTATCTACTCTGAAATTACACAAGTTCCATAGGGGTTATTACTGTAACATCTTTTATGGGGGAAAAAATTGCTTTCAGTGTGAACTGTCATAATACATATTAACACCCTTCTTAAAGTAAGACTCTTGCAAATGAAACTAATAAACCTCTATTGAGAATTGCAATGAGGGGGAAAGTACTATACTTGTTTTATTTCAAGTTATCTTCCATATGTTCCTGGAGTGTATTGTGAGGCAGACTCTGCTGCATATACTGTATGCCATTAGGACTGTGTAACGTAATAAGTGCAAACACACCTTTCGTTAGGGGTTGTAATTTTGGAACTTGCCCATAGAAAAGAGCCCCTGGGAATAGCTGAGTCAGAAGTGCTGTCAACAGCTGCAGCCCAAGGCACTATGTTTGTGTACCATTGCGCAGAGTTACTGTACAAGGTTTCAGCTCAGCCTGGTTTGGGCTGTTGCCTGGATTCTATTTAGTTTGGAAAGTTGTGCCTCCATCTCCATATGAATGATGCATAGTTCCTTGGGTTGCAGTGGATGCTTAAAACAACTGAAGCACGTCTAAGCACTTCTGATGCCACTTGTAGTTGATACTGCATGTCATTCTGGGACCGTATAAGTTCACGTGCAAGTATTAGCAAGCAGTTTCAAGGCTCTGGTTGCCTCCAACGAGCTTGTACTCCGAGTAGACCCATTGAAATTAATAGACTTGGTTGTCATTTTTGTTACTTTCAACTGGTGTGCTCTGAATAGGACTGTCGCTAGAGACAAGCCTAAATCGTCCCCCTAGCTGGAGTAAGAAGGGAGTTTAATGCACAGAGGGTTGTATCAACTAAGTCATGCACAGAACAGACCCATAGACTTAGTAACAACTAACTCAAGCCCCTTGATTTCAGTGGGTTTACTTTGAGCATACCTCCGTTGGAGATAAACCAAAGATACTAAGCACTGCTTATGAACAAATTGGAGATAACCATCAATATGTTCAGAATGAATTCAGCATTCCTTCACTCGGTTGCAGGCTGCACAAGATGAGTTTACATGTTCGGTTTTGGGGCGTGGGGAGCACATTACATTCCACATGGGGCTACAAATGAAAATTATATCCCCATGTACAGTTCTTACCCCTCTCTCCCCACTCTTCGTATCTCTTTGATACAAAGTCAGTCTTCTTCTTCTTATTACGTCATCTATCTGTACGTTTCCACGCCCTTGTTAATGTGAACCTGTGTTCTGGACAAGGGCTGAGGAATTATGATGTCAACACAGGTGTGTTTAAACATTATGGGAGAGGTGGAGAACTCAACACGGGGCTGGGATTTTCAAAGGCAGCCTTGAGTCAAGTGTAATGTGTAATTCTGCCCTTTTGGCTAGCCAGTCCATAGTATCCAATCTTGGGTAATTTTTTGATGCAACTATCCATGATACACTGAAGAGATCTGTTCCACATATCTGATAGCTAAAATTTATTATGTGAGCACCATAATGTGTGCAGTCACTTACTCTGAATGGGATCAGAATAAGAAAACTATTCTTTCATTTAAAATGAAAATCTTAATGCCAATTGCTTCTTGGCCCATAGTATAATCAGACTCAAGACTTTCCCAATGTATAGTAAACCGTTGAATATTAGCTTTGGGCTAAATCTTTCAAAGTAAATAAATGACAGCTAGGTTAATTCAAAGGGATATTGGACAGAGCATTTCTGCTTACATTCAACACATATTGACCTAATTGATCAGGACTTTGTTTCTGTTTAAGAATTTGATACAGTTCTTCTCTTATAGATCAAAACCCACTTTATGACGACCCTTTTTCTTTTTGCTGCCTGCCTGGGATTTTGAAAATGGGAAGATTGTTAAGCAGTTGAAAAGCCACAATACTGGGCTGTGTAATAGTTGCATGGATCACAAATGGTGCAGGCCTGCTATAAGACCACTTTAATTGGACTAATTCCACCAGAATCCTCAATAGGACTATCATTATAAATTACTTTGAAATTGTGTTTTTAATAACCAGAACCAGAAAATGATTATCCTTCGAATAAACGAGTTAAAGGACATACAGCATGTTCAGCATCTAATAGTAAAAGATATATATACATATTGCATAAAGGTGGATTCAAGTAGCAATAAGTATCTGATTTTGCACTAAGTCCACAAAAATGTTAAGGACACCCATAATAGCTAAGGTCAAACTTGCCATGAACTTACAAGAATAATAAGGTCATACTTTTTAGCCTTAATGTGGAATTTGCTGGTATTTTTTATCATAGACAGATCATTAATATTACTTAACATGTTTTTTATTTAATTTATTTTTTGTATTTTTTAAAGAAAGGACTAAAAGTAAGCAAGAAAAATGTTATGACTTTATGGCAGTTGATGCAATAAACTGTAATCAATTTATTCAAATAACCCATAGTGCTGTGTATATACCTATTGGATTTTTGTAGATACGGAGTTATGATATACATTATCTTGGTCCAACACATGGTAGCAGGCTACCTAGCCTTTTCTATTAGCATATAATGGCAGTCAAATGAAAGCTTGGTTGGTCACTTCTAAGTCCTCCTTGGAATAATTCCAGAATAGAATTGGGGAAAAATACGCTCCCTTTATAAAACAAAATGAACAGTGTGCGATTAAATTTCATGGAGTCCTCAAATGCAGCCGTAATATAGAGGCTTGGGACCTCATTCCCTTCCTGAATACACAGACATTCACCTTTGCATCAAAGCTGGTTTGCCTGTCTGCAAAACATCAAATATGGATCCAGTTTCCTGATTTCACTAATACAGTGGTACCTTTGTTGTTGAACTTAATCCGTTCCGGGAGTCCGTTTGACTCCCTGAACCGTTCGAAAACCAAGGCGCTGCTTCCGATTGGCTACAGGAGCTTCCTGCACTCAATCGGAAGCCGTGTTGGGCATCTGGCTTCCCAAAAACGTTTGCAAACTGGAACACTTCCTTCTGGGTTTGCAGCATCCAGGAGCCGATTTGTTCGGCCACTAAGCTGTTTGGGAACCAAGGTACCACTGTATAGATGGTTGGCTTACTTCTCATAGATAGCAAATAACCAAGGCTACACCTTCTACTGTTGCAGTTTGATGCCTTGGAAATAAGTATAGTGAGTGGGGGAACACAGGAAACTTTTATTACTGCTATTCCGGTGCTGTGGACAAATAGAAGGCTTCGTATATTCTAGCACTCTCCATCTCTGACACCTCTTTAAAATTCACACTGCAACTTGGTGTTAATATACTTGACAACGTGTAACTGTGCATATGAATGGAAATATGTTTGTTGGATAAATGTATTGTTATAGAATTTTGAAAGTGAGTATTCTTTCATAAGGGACACGTGTGGCGCTGTGGTCTAAACCACAGAGCCTAGGGCTTGCTGATTGGAAGGTCGGCGGTTCGAATCCCCGCGACGGGGTGAGCTCCCATTATTTCATCCCAGCTCCTGCCAACCTAGCAGTTCGAAAGCACGTCAAGTACAAGTAGATAAATAGGTACCACTCTGGCGGGAAGGTAACGGTGTTTCCGTGCGCTGCTCTGGTTCGCCAGAAGCGGCTTAGTCAT